TATATATATGGCAAAAAATTTAGGATTATTTACAAAATACACAAGATCTTTGGATACTTGTTATCTTTTGTTTTTAAAATGAATATGGAAGCTACTGTACAGTAAATGAATGTGGAAGCTACTGTAAAGTAAATGAATGAAATTCAGATATGACATTGTTATATACAAGTATTAATGAGTCGATAAACAATTAAAAATATATAGTTTGAGTCATTCCATGTCAACTCAAACATGGCTCCATGGTGACCATCATGGAATTTGCTAAAATTTTAACCAAATATACCTAGGCCTAGAGGGATATTATGAAAAATCCCAAACATTATAAATTAGAAAAGTCCCAAGCATTCTTAAGTTACTGCACTTTTAAATTTTGAAGACACGCCCCTTTTTCGGACAAAGATCAGCCATATCTTGTGAGGGTTTATGAAAGGCAATATTTTTATTTCTGGACATACTAGAAAGCTAAAAATAGCTATTCTGGTTCAGTTTTGCCCATAACCTCTGATTCTGCAATCAAGCTCTGAATACTGTAGACCTGGCCATTAAAAAGTTATGAGCATCTCAAAATCAGTTTTATTTGGGCAAAATTAATTATTTTAAGATTTTCACCTTGTATGACCGAGACTACTAAATATTTTAATGGGAAATAGTTATTTGAGATCGGATATACAGCAGACTATAGCCAAATGAAAGATTATTCCAATCAAACATCAAATCACAGATTTTAATTTAGGACAATCCAAAAATGGCCGCAGCTCAAAAATTTACTCCTGTAACCTAAATTTGAGGGGTCAAATAACTAGATAGTTAGCAATGGAAATGAAACTTACACAACTGGAAGTTATCTTTTGGTAGGTAGAAAAAAATGTTATCTCAACTTATTCCCTTCATTATAAACTCCCATGTGAAATGGTGTTTCTTCTGTGTCGGCAACTATTAGTTTCAACCCCCCCAACCCCCATATTCTCCAATCCCCAGTCCAGTTTACTTTGAATGTCTACTGCACGTTAATCCTTGCTGACTGCTACTAATATACAGTAATAGGCCTACCAACTACAGTATCAATATCCAGTAAATACTGTAGACCTATTAACTACTTTTTGAACATGTACAGTACAGCAAACATTATCTTTGCTTGTAATATAACTTTGGTTTAAGACAGGCTCCGGATGAAAAAGTTTTGATATGTAACTCATGTGTTACATAAAACTGTCTCTGGCATGGCAATCACACTGTTCATGTCTTCATCTAAAGAATATTGAGTCATCTCAAGACTGTGCTCCCTTCTATTTCCAAAGTGATATATTTTGGTGATTGGGCAGCTTCCCAATACAAGAACTGTAAATATTTTAACTTCACAACCAAGATGACTTTGGGCATCAGAAAATATCTTAAAACCTCAAATTGAAGCCCCCATTTTTAGTTTGCAAAATTAGCCTACAGTACTGTAAAAAAGAAGTCCACCTCAAAAAGAAGCCCATGGGCTTCTTTTCAAGATAGTACAGTACATATGCTGTACATGAATTTCAAAAAACAAAATAAATTAAAATCAAGCTTGGTTTATACATTAGTTTAGGCGAGTTAATGCCAGTTAAATACACTCCATGACACAGGTTGATGTTACATTTGCCTTATTTATTGCTTTATAGTATAAATTCACAAAATGTACTGCATTCATTTTGAAAAGAAGCCCCCTCTTTACTTTGAAAAAGTAGCCTTGAAAAGAAGCCCACCCAAAGTTAGCAAAAAAAAAAGAAGCCTAGGGCTTCAATTCAAGGTTTTACGGTATACCAAGAATCATCGTTTTGCATGTGTCCAACAATAATGAGGGATTTAAACTAACTAAACGATTTGCTCACTCTAAAACTCTAACAGGAACTGTTAATTGCTTCATTCCATTGGCTGATAGAAAACAACTGTGGTTTTCTTTCACACTACCGTATCCTCTGTTATTAATTTTGATATTTCATTTTTTCTTTCAGAATTTAAATAGAACAATGGATCTTGAGTCTGCTAAAAATGTTGTATTAGAGACTCTGATTGAAGCATCAAGCCAAAATGTTTCTCTTTTGAAGCCAGCAGAACAGAAGCTTAAAAGCTGGGAAACACAACCAGGATTTTATCCAATCCTGCAGGTACCTATTTTTTTTGACAGAAAATGGCACTTAAACACTTACAATCACAATTACTACTATATCAATCTGAGCCCCACCATGGTTGGAGCTCAGGTGGGAAAATTTCAAAAGTGCCTGTGAGTAAATTTGAGACTTTATTAGATGCGCGAAAACTGCACTTGCATACTTAAAATTTATGAAAACTGTCATCCACCTCAGCCCACAATGGTTGAGGCTGAGGTAAGACAGTTAAAAAAACTACCATATGTCCGTCCTGAGTTTCACCAGGGTTGGGGCTCAGGTGAGCTTTTAGATGTCAAAAAATGGCACTTTAATACATAAAATCTACAAAAATTACTATATATCCACCTGAGCCCCATCATGGTTGAGGCTGATGTGAAAAAATTTTAAGAATTGGGGACTTCTATACTTAAAATTTATGTCGGTTAATTTTTAACATTTAAAAATAGGCATTTTTAATATTTTTTTCAACCTCTAAAGGGGGTGCTGAGGCACCCCGAGCACCCCCTCTGGATACACCACTGAAGATACCCTGCAAATGTTCTTGTAATTTTGTTTTAATAACTCCTGATTTTGTATAAAGTGATAGCATATATGTAATTCTTTGTTTGTTTTTAATTTGTTTATTTGCAGTCAATTTTCAGTACGTACAGTGTTGATGTTAATGTGAGATGGTTAGCTGTTTTATACTTCAAGAATGGTATAGACAGATACTGGAGGAAAACTGCCCCAAAGTAAGGATTCTTTAAAGATATACTGTCTGTAAATTATGAAAAAAAAACAGATTGCAGTAGTATTTAAATTTTTCACTTCCTTTCGCTGGTTGTCAAAAATCAGACCTTGATTTAAAAGGCGCGCGATCGCGCCGGCGCTCCTCCGCGCTCCTCGAAATTATGCGAGGAGAGCAATCAATAGCGCTCCTGAATTTTTCTAGGGGAGCAACAAAAATACCAAGTTTCATTTGTATAAACATTTAACAGTTTTTTAATTTTGATGTATTTAGTGAGAAATGCACCAAGGATAAACCATGAAAGTTCAAAGACTTTTTTATGATCTCTCTGGTGATGAATTTGGTAGTACTGTACATCAGGAGACACAACCGCTACTCTCTTCCAAACACTGCATTTTTTAACTTACACACAGAATTAATGGCTTTGACATCTCATCCAAAAACCGGTTGGCTGTTGAAACTTGCATTTTAGACTTTCTGCTGAAACAAAAGGAGAGTAACCCATGAAACTAAACTGTGGACCGAGATTAAATAACAATCTCCATTATGGTTGTAGCTACCACAAGTTTAGCCGACTGAACCCAGCTACTCTGGATAATACTTTTAATTATGATCAAATGATAATTTATAATATTTATGCCTTTAAAATGTTATTCAGCAGGCTCTGGTGATAGAGCTGAGAAGAATGTATGACTATTGTGCATTATCCTAGTGATTGCAATGAAATTAAATAGAAGAACTGGACTCCATGATGGTCAATCCGGGGTGGGAGGTGGGGGCGGGGGGCACATTGCCTCTCTACATGTGTAAACTTTCTGGATCTATCTCTGAATCTAATTATGATTCTCCAGATTTTTCTAAATAAAAAAAAAAAAAGAAAATGAATTGTCATAGGCCTGTAAAAGCATTTCATGGTAAGTAATTTTAGACCACACCTATAGTTAAATCAAGGTTCGGTCCAGGGATCTGTTGTTTACAGCACTTTGTAATGTGTAACATTTTGTTGGAAAAAATTGACGAATGAACTGGGTATGGCATAATAAATGTGTTTGCAGCCATATTCATATTATGGAATAAATTTACTTGACTACTTGACTGTAAAGTTAGCACTCCCTTGTGATGGTGTGATAATCACAACGCTTAGGAAATTCTAGTTAGTCGGTGTGTCCTACTGTAATATCTGCAAACATTGCATCACAGCCTATCACAGCTTAGCACTGACTGAAACGAAATAAAAATCTAAGGTTTAAATGTGAATTTGAGTTTTCAAAAATTATATATAGCTCTAATATTTTAAATAGAGCATACAGTATAGTAGGCCTATAGTTACATACTGTGCAATAATAAATCAGAACAAGCAAGCATGTTACAGAACAGTATGAGTGTAAGATACAAATTAAATTAGTTTAAAGCTGCAGATGCATACAATAACAATAATAATAATACTGCAAGTGACATTTATGAAGCTCTCTATGCTAGCAATGCATCATAAACAGTGCAATAGAATAACACCTCATAATAATAACAGAAATTCATCCTACGATCTACAATACTAAGTCTAAAAACATATACAAAATTCATCATGCAATATAAAATAATAATTCACCAAATAAATAAGTCTAGTTACAATTAATATTTCAACTGGTTACAATTAATTTATGTAGTCTATACATTAATTAATTATTACAAAAATGTATTATTACCAAAAAATAGTATGGGAAAGGCTTTTAATCAGACAATATAAAAAAGACATCAGAAATCATTCGTTAATGGGAATCATCCAACACAATGCTAAAAATGATGTCACTACTAGTTTTGTTTTACAAATAAGATAGTAAAATTAATCACAATAGAGAAGAAGCAGTGCCATTACTAAGCCTACTAAGACCTAAAAAAATAAATTTTGTTTGTTTGCCCTTCTTTTTTAAAAAATGATAAATAGGGGTGGGTGGAAAAATTTTTTTTAAATTTTTTTTTTTTTAAAATACTCATCAGATGGAATACAAATAACCCATAGATTCCTAGAATGGCAATGTCTTGCATCAGACAACAACTTTAGACTAATTTGTAGGGCATCTGGCAAAAAATAAAGATAATTCACTCACTTTTTTTATTTTGATTGCTAATCTCGTTGTGGTCTAAAAGCACAATTTGGACCATACTAAGCTCTAAGAACTCTCCAAGTGAACCCTACCATGGATTTTTTCCAGGACCAGGGCCGATGCCCTAGTTGGCCCCTAATAGGTCGGACCTATACTGTCGGACCCTTTGTCAGCAATTTTCTGGAGCTACCGCTGGGCCCTTTTCAGGTCTCAGGTTTCAGGACATGTTTGTCATTGTTATTCTAAATATTTTTATCAACGAATAAATAATATAATTGTTGGATCTAGGAATTTGAAATAGAGGGAGACCAGGGAGGAACTTTCAGAGGACACCATCTTAGCCCCACCATGGTTGGGGCCGAGGTACTAAAATTTATGATTGTGGCACTAACAGACTTAAAGTTGTGAATATAATTTTCTATTTATCGCCATTAAAAAAAATGTGGTGGCCCCCTTGGTCGGCAGGGCACCCTTTAATCCGCCACACTGGATACAGTAGTATGATATATGTCCTACAGTTGATGTCAGAGACGCATTTTGCTGTTATGTATCAACAAAACCCTATTTGTGAGGGTGATAGATTAAGGACCCATATGTGTGGGGCCCCTTTGGGTCCCCAGGGGTCGGGGCTCTGCAGACCGCTGCATGAGAGCGCATAGACGTTACGCCACTGTACTTCGCATTATTTTAGGACTATGTGACAGGATACTGAGCCACGGCCTAAACGTGTCCTCTGTATGCTTTTTAACTTCCACATTTTTTTTGTTCATTATTAAAAAGGATCAAATCAGCTAATGGCATTCAACTAAAAACAGATTAAAAATAATAGTTTTCGCTGATTTGTATATATTTTAATACAAAAATTTGGTCTTCAGGCGAGACTTTATTATATTTATTTATTCTTTCTTTATACTGAATATACACTTTCAATACATAGTACTGCTTTCCAAAGTGGTTTAGTTCTTAACTACAAATTTTTTAAAGCAGATATATACACAAGGTAACCAAAAAAGATGGATAACTTAACTACAAATTAAGATAGATTTAAAAGGAACATTGAAAGAAACTTAAGAAAAATAAAAAATTTAAATAATAAATATGGATAAGCAAGGTAAGGGAAAATCAGGTTAAATTAAGATGGTATTATTGAGGATTTGAAATAGAATGCTTAAAATTTGAAAGTGTCATAGATTTAAAGTTGGTTTTAGTATGATTCGGGAGTTTATTCCATAATTTAGTAGATCGGTGTACAAAAGTTCTTTTACCTTGCATATTATTCCAGGTGTATTCAATTAGTGTACTTTTACTTCGACTCCGAGTACAATGCGTACGCAAACTACTGTATAATTAAGACAAAATTTTTCGATAAATATGATGGAGCGTGATCATTTAAACATTTGAAAATCATTATGAGCAATTGTTCGTCCCATTTATCACTGAGTGTGCTCCACTCTAACGAACTTAAAATATTTACAACTGGGTTTTTTATGTCTGCAGAAAGTAAAATTCTTCCTAATCTGTTTAAAAGTATTTGAAGTGAATTTGAAAGTTTAATATTACAGTTGGACCAAACACAGTTACAGTAATCAAAAAGAGGCATACCTTGTGTCGCAAACCCGCTGCCCTCCAGTATTAATAATTTAATGAAATAAAATATTTTTGGCCAATTAGCGCACCCGCTGCCACGAAAAACTGGAAATTTCAGAAAATAATAACTGTTTTTCTTCATTTTTATTCCAAGATATGTATATTTCTTCCTATTTATATAAATTTAAAGAATTTAACCATCCCATTACTACGCTGTTTACATTCAGCAATAAAATTTTATTGTTATTTTGGCAAAACCATTTGCTAAACAAGAAAACAAAATTTTTTTTTTTTTTTTTTTTTTGCTCACGTTTGACGATCTTTAAAATATAAGTTTGCGAAACAAGTAATAAAAAAGTCTTGCATAGCAAATAAATATACAACAAAAGTAATAATTAAACTTCTGTTTTAATTGAGGGAGAATTTTTTCAGATTTTTAATTACAGTACAAATTACAGTATACAAATTAAGCAAATCAAATATATTGAATGAAATTTAATGTTCAATTTTTGAAACTCATGACAGACACACCTCTATAAAGTACAGGGGTGGATTTAAGGGGAGCAGAGCAGGCCCTGCTCCCCCCTCCCTTTTTGAAAGTAAAGGAAAAAGGGGGAAAAAAGAAAAATAAATTATTGGTCATTTCAAGGCGTCTAGAAAACAAAAATTTGTGGGGACGTTCCCCCGACCACATATACTGTAATGTTTTCTTTCGATCATCACCCCCATTTCGGACATCTCTGGATCCGCCCCTGAAGTGTGCTGTTCAATTTTTTCTTTTTAAAATGTAATATATTGATTTATTTAATAATATTAAGTATGGTGTAGCATTGTTTACAGTACATAGTAAATTAGTAAATTTGATTTTTATTCATTAAGTGTATGTACTTTTTTAATAGTTTACAAGAACATTCTTCAACTTCATAGCTGAGCTTTGGAACAGCCACACAGAGAAGTTTCTTGACAAAGCAGCAACAAATATTGAATCAGCCCTTACAAACTACTTAGAGCCAAGTCAGTTGTCACTGAAAAGTAAGTTGAAATCTTTGGTCCATTTCACCCATCAATTCCAGACTTCTCTAATTTTAAGACTCTAATTCAACTCTTTTTTGATATACCAACTAACAACCTTCAATCAACCCAAACCAAAGACCACCTCAAATTTCTTAGGTCCCCCAAACAAGGTCTTGAATTACAGGATGCAATATATTTCTTATGTAATGATTAATCATAGTTATGTCAAATGATATTATTAGAAATATTGCTAATATCAGCTCACCACCTAATTGTTTGATTTTAGTAAGGTTTTGAGTTGGTAAAATAAGGTAATTTACTTTTTGTATAATTATTGAGTCTTCATGTTAAAATGTTTGGCATGATTGACAGGATATAAATCAAAATTTCAAATTGTTGGAAATAATTACAATGGACTGAGTAAACACATCATGAATTGGAAATGGTGCTGCTCGGCAGCTGAACATGTTTTTTTTAAAAATCTTATCAGTGATTGCTTTTTCTTTTCTTCCCAAGTAAATGGGACAATTAGCATACTTAAAGCAGACAGAAGAGGTCTGATGATCGTTCCAAGTTTTTAAATTACCTATGAAATGCCAATTTCAGGCTATTTGTCCTTGTAAATGATAATTGATCTTGTATTGTATGTCATGCTGATGTGAGCTGCAATATGTCTTACATTTTAACAAAAATACCTTGTCATTACTTTTTCCAATATATCTCGCATTCTATCACCTATACTTGTTCATCTTCCCTTGGTGGTTAAAATTCTGCCATTTTCAGAATTTATATTGACCAATATGTTTTGCCTAATGTTCTTATTCTTATTCTTTATTTGCCAATCAAATACACAGCTGGATAGGAGGGCCTAGTCTCAATACAAAGTACTGTAAACTTAATTACTATAACATTATGCCAGAGAACCACTCCCATCCAGTAATTACTGGAATAATATAAAAATATATATCATTAAAATTTTACATAAACAATACAAAACACATGTTACATTATTTTATGCAATGATTATTTCTTCATATGCAAGTCAATACTTTTATATTACATATTTTTATACATTATGCCTTTAGCCTTTAGATTGAAAAGGGAATTCCCTGGATATAAGACCAGAGTGTGGGCTTATTCCTGAAGAACTACAGAATGTATAATATTGCAGCTACAGAAGTTAGCAGAATAATTCATGTACCATTTAAAAAAAACAATTATTTTATAGTTAATGGCAGTTTACACTTATATATTTAATTTTACTCCAAATAGAAATTGTGTGAGTGTAACATATATTGTAGACAAATTTAACACACCAATGAATAATCTCTTAAATACAAAATATATACTATAAAAAATATAAAATTCATAATTTAAGGATTTAATTGAATTGAGATTTTTTTTGTTGTACAGTACCAAAGACAGAATTTATAAACTGATTAAATTGAGGAATGTCTTTATTGTTTTTACTTATTGTTGACGTTCAGCTTTCAAAACCTTTATGGTGGCAAAGATTCATCCTTCATGCAATTTAGAATATAAACATGCTGCAGTTTCCATCCGGTGTTTTTCTGCACAATGTTATGATATTCTGTCAAATATGGATAATTCCTTTTAATATTTTGTTTTAAAAATTGATTGATTGAATTTATTCGATGCTTAACATGCACAAACAAAGATCTGTACTACCTGTACCTTTCAAAGATACAGAAAAGTACCTCAAAAACTAGAATTTGGAATAGCTCATTTAAAAGGGTCAAATAAATCAGTAGCTTCCAGTGAGAAGCAGATCCAACAGAAAGTAGTTTTCTTCAATTTACAGACTTTTTATTAAATATTTTGATTATCAGAAAATTTAAGGATCTAGGGCCTATGAATACAGGAAAGTTTTCATTTAACTGTCCAAAATTGTAAACTATTAACTTACTTTAAATATACAAATTAAGTAATTTAAATGTGATATTAACATTTTCATTTTTTTTAATCTCATGACTAATAGTACATCTTTAAATTGACAATTTTTTTTTCTCCAGTTGCTAAGAAACTAATGGTGCATGGAATGACTGAAGTAACTGAATACCCTAATGCTTTGGTATGTTTTAATTCATCGTATCTCTATTTTATAATCACTTACTAAATAAAAAATATAAACATAAACGTCTACTTGATCACAACATCATACCTTATTGATATCGCCTTTGTTTTATTTTCTCCATTTTTTTAAACATTTATATAACTGTTAACAGATGTAACATCTTATTTTTATATGTTCCATACATTACAGTAATTGCTAGTGGGTAGGTCTGTACTTCCCCATTCCATTATGTATTACAGTACTGTATATGACAATCTTAAATTAGCTTTTTTTTTCTGTTTTATATTACCCATTGAGCAAAGTGGAGCTGTAGCTTGGTGCTTAAGATTCTGGAACACGTGCCAATTCAGGGTGCATATCCTGCTAATATATCTGACAGAGGATGAATAATATATCATATCTTTTGTATCTCGTAGAGTTATCTTGAGCCATTAGTCAACAGCGTAGCTCTTGACTGAGAATTTTAAACAATTTTATACAACAAAAATAGCTCCAATGTATTTTCCCACAATAGATTCTGTCATCTTTGTATGCTTCTATGTAATACTTTAATTATAATTTAGTTTAATTAAGGAGAACCACATAATTTTCCATCACATTCGTACTATTTTTTTGCCAGACAACTGTTCAAGTTGTGTTTGAGAGATTAGAGCAAATGTTACAGATAAGTAAGTATTTTATTGCAATTTAATTAATTCTTTTGAAATATTCAATTATTTAAACTATGTAGGCAATATTTTACCCTGTTTAGGGGACTGTATGTTTTAAAGGTCTTCAGAGGAGGGCAGAAAAAAGTAGAAAATCAAATTTGGTTTTCATATGAAGTTTTTCTACTAGGTAGAAGAATAAAATAAAATAAATTTTACTGAGGATTATAAAAACTCTGTGTTTGAGGGTGCCTTTTAACAGTAGATCCTAACTCAAAAATCCATCAGTGTGGTGATGTAAACAGCATATTGAACTGTACAGTACCTTTACAATTATGTAATTATAAATAAAAAATACATCAGAAGATATATGGCAGATAAAAATAAAGAAAATAAACAAATTGTTCATTAATCAATTTTCCAAGATGGCAGATGCACAAGTGGCCCAAAAATAGCATTATGTTTTATTGTGATTTATTATTGGCAAGTGGCAGGTTCCTGAAACAAACAATTCTTGCTTATTCTTACACTACCAGAAAAAATATATTTGATGACAACACTAATTTATTCAATTTCAATGTCAACAGATTATGTTAATGATGTTCATGACATCATTAAGTTGAATATAATTTGACCAACTCATAAATGAAGAGTGTGTATTTGTAGTGTAAATAGTCACAATTAATTAGTTTCAGTGTTTCGTGCATGATGGCTACAGAATTGAATCAACTCTAGGAACGCTTGACCTAGCATGCACACACTTCCAAATTATAGTTTCTAGTAACACAAATTAATCAGATATTTTTGGTCAGACAACTTGGACCAGTGTAAATTTTTTAATTGAACCTGAGATTGTAAAGACACTACAACATTTTATTGTGTGAATGTGGTATATAATTATATTAATATAAGTGACTATGTGCGAAAAATTATAGCTGCCATTGACTAGTTAGCTTTTTCAATTACACTTTTCATGTGAGCATGAACTGAAGTGATTTTAATAATCTAAATTTACATCAATAGTAGCTAAAAATGTGATGATATTGCTTCAAAGTGAAAAACAACTTTAAACTTTGTTTGAATCACAAGCACTGTCAAAAAGTTTACTGTATCTTCATTGTCTCAAGCCATACTGCACATACTTTTTTTTAAATTTCAGGACGGCAAATTGAGGACTATTCACTAAAAGAAAAAATAGAAAAGAAAATTATCCAACTACTGAAAGTAGTAAGTTGCATTTACTTTAACACACACTATATAAATTCAGTAAAAGTAAAAAAGTGAAGTGAAAAAGTAGAAGGTATTGAAATGCATGCCATCATGTTGTGATTCAATATTTCGACATTAATTATGTCATCATTCCTGATGATGACATAATTATTGTTGAAATATTGAATCCCTACATGATGGCGTGCATTTCAATACTTAGAAAATGTATTATACTTTCTTATCTGAGATTAATCAGTGGACCTTTCGGTAAAATAGTGAATTAGTAGGTAAAGGGCTTTTTCTGCTATTCTGTATCTAGACGTATGTAAGTAAAATAAGTTAAATATGGACCGTAAATCCTTGAATAAGCACTGCAGCGCTTATACGAGAGTGGTGCTTAGCGAAAAATTCATGTTTGGTGCTCCGCTTATTCGAGGATTTACGGTAATTAATACTTTGACTTGACAACTGTTTATTTAGAAGTGGTGGTAGAAAGTAGGAATTCATGTCCAAACCTTGCTTGCACCCAAATTACAATGGGTTTATGCCATCTCCACCAACTTGGGAAATGTGTGTACAGTAAGCTACCCAAGAAGACAAACATACCCATTTTCACAAGCACTCACAAATGTTTCAATAGATAATTATTGGTCCTATTGCAATGACCGGGCCAAATTCACCTATCTTAGAAATATTAAAATATACTGCATCGGGATATTTGTAAAGTTAGTCTTATTTTTGCCAGATTTTATGTTTGCATATTTTTAATTAGGTCAACTTAAGATATTTGTGTGTTACAGTAGATCAATTTGACAATGAAAGTGTCACATGACAAGAAGGCATATTTGACATCCTGAAAGATTGATATCATATTACTGAGAGTAGGCAAATCACTCAATATATCAAGTGTACAATAATGGATTGATTGTCAGTTTTGATGAAACATGAGACTGAATCTTTTATTTGAAATATTTTCAAATTTAGGTTTAACACTGTAGGCCCAAATATTTAAATTTTTGTTAAAAAAACTTTATAACAATATATTTTAGTCAGTAAAAAGTTTCCTTGGTTTCTTCACAAATTGTTTCAAATATACTATTAGAAATATAATTTATAGACTTTACAATGTTGGCATAATCATTGATATATAGTGGTATATTAATGTATTTTTTTGCTGATAATGTAAAATGAAACAACAGTGTGTATAATTGCTTGACAGCTATAAATATGTAACAATGTACCTCCTTAACACATGTAAGTCAGACATGTTTTAAATGGCCTACTGTATATCAACCATCATATTCAGCCACATACATACACAGTAATTATCCAGTTCAAAAAGAAAAAATTAAATTTAAAATGCGTCCCCTGCTAACTCGGTACCTAACTTTTACTGGGTTGGAAGAGACAATTTGGATGAAATGCACAGCGTAAATGTTGAACCCTGACCTCAAGGTTGAGAGCCTGAATCGCAATCCATCCTTTAACGAGATGATAATTCTGGATTTATGTTGTGCTCCACAATAAGAATACCTTCAGTCTTTTTTATTGAATTTTCATGCAAACAGTTAAACGTATGACTTTTTTCTTGTGTGTACAGCTGTCCGTTGTACAAGGAAATCATCCGGTATGCTTCATCCAGTTTATTCAGCGTGCCCTAGAGTTCACAAGCACATACTTGTTCACACAGGCAGCAGACAATCTACACTTTGAGCGTTTTATCATTGAATGTATGAACATTATGAAAGCTATAGTCACATGCGATGAATACAAAGTTGTTAAGCTGATTGCGGAGAAAGCTGAACCAAGTCGAATACAAGCTGCTAAGGCAAGTAGTAATATTTGTTTTTCACTGGTCTGAAATGAACTTTGATTGTTAGAATGAGTGTAAAAAGAGAGACAGAATGCAGTAAGCTCATGAATGCTTTGAAATTGTTGATCAACAATTGTGAGGCCTCACCACAAAATGATTCTCATGGTTAGAATATCAAAATTTGAGTTTATATTATATTAACCCTTTGAAGTCCCAAATGACTTTTCCCAAGTCACTGAGTCCCATTAAGGGGTTGTTAATAGGTTTATGAAAAACGTAAAGTACATTTTTATGACTGCAACTTTTAATAAATGATGGTTTGATTGTTGTGTAATATGTTTTAGGCTTCCGAAAAATAGCAATATTTTTTAACCTTTTGACCTATGTCAAAGGTCAAATGCCCAAAAATTGAAATTCAAGGACCTAAAAAGGGTATTTTTTTACCCAAAAACCCTTTGTAAACGTCAAGAAAAAAATTCGTATGTTCATGAATGTTACATATTATGTAGAATATGTTGTTTTCTACAGGAAAAAAATATTTGTGTTTGAGTATTTCATGATTTTATATTTATTATGAATATTTTTTATATCGAAGTCCGACGTAAATATTGGGCTCCATTTGGGTATTTTCAATGTGTTAGAAAAAGGGTAATTATTATGACCCTTGGAATTTGCAAATGATGTTTTGTTTGCTGGATGGAATACATGCGCATGAGTCTCAACAAATGTAAATATTGTTGTTTTTTTTTATACCTAGGTCAAAGGTCAAGTGCCCAAAAATTGCAATTCAGGGGCCTAAAAGGGGTATTTTTTTACCCATAAACTAAGCACTTCCTCCTCGTGCTTAGAGCTAAACCTAGGGCTTATGTCAGTTAATACACTACTAGTAGCGGTGTCATCATCACCTGAATCGTCATTACTCACTGCAGAATAATATATATCTTCACCGAGATCGATATTTTCATCCCCACTGTCATCGTCTGCTAAAATAAGCGTAAGCGCGTCACTGACGCTAAATGACTGCTTTCTTTTGGCCATTTTGAATGCTTTTGCACGTCCAGTTGCGGCAACAATAGGGAAGTCCCCTAAATGACTCATTAAATAGAGGGTAGCAGCGTTAAACGTCACTCCGTACTGTATTCGGAGCGCGCTTCCTGCGACAGAAAGTTGGTCTGTATAGTATATGGACCGCAACTTCAAAGGGTTAAGGTAGATCACATTATAAGCTTTAATTTGGTCTTTGAATGGCTCCACTAGGATATGTAGATCCAGAGATGTGAGCATTTAAATATTATGTGTAAGAGAACCACATTTTGAGAAAATTGACCTCCAAGACAAACTAACCTGTACAAATAATAGGACTAGAATTACAGAATATGCGCAGAGAACACTGTTTTAGTAAGAAAATTCACTTAAAAAGTATACAATCATTAAATATAAATATCAAGTTATTCAAAAACATTAAAATCAAAATTGTGTAAAATTTTGACTTTGAACTATTTTGGTGATTATCTCAAAATGATTTCACCAACAATGCATCTCATTTCATGGTGAGACCTCACAATTATGTTACCTTCTGTCCTCATCTTATCAGAACTTGTCATGTGCCAAGTAAACTAATCTTAGCATGAGACCAAAAATTTATATCTGCCAATTAATCTTCTATTTTACCTGTGCCTAGGGGATGTGTATTTTGTATAGTCTGAATAGCAGGCTTGTGTCAATGTCAAATGACATAACTCTGACAAATTAGAATAATAAGGATTGCAGAAGAACTAATGAATGGATCATCATAAAGCTTTAAAAGGTACTACCTAGAGGTCTAAGTCACAAAATTACAATTAATTATTAGTAGAAAAACTAATGAATGGATCATCCTAAAATTTAAAAGGTACATACCTAGCGATCTAATTCACAGAATTATAATTAATTATTAGAATTTTAAAATGTTTTATTCTGTATTAAGGAAGGACCCTATTTGAAATAAGTGTTTTTTAAATGACTTTACAGGCTATCCCTGTATATAAACAACAACACTCTCTTTCATTTCTCATCTTTGCTAATGATTTTAAGTAGATAAGGATGATTGCTGTGTTTGCCTTTTTGTCTATTATGAAATTGTATGTCCAAAAGATGTTGTAATCCAATAAAATTAATCAACTCACAAGTTGGAGATATGCACTCTATAAAGTGACCTCTGTAGTTTTCTCCTTTTCACTTTATAATTATCTTCTGGCAAGTGATTAGACCACTCATGTATGTAATTAAATATTTAATATCAGCCAATTCTCATAAAATATAATATTAAGTTCAAATAATAAGTTATCTAATTTTATGGCAAAATAGGCAATCGACAAAAATAGCATTTGTCTATCTCTCATCAGTGTTATGTTTAGACTTACTCATACAGTACATAGTGTAGCGTAACTTATTACAAGAATAACATTTAAGATGGCAAAAGATGCCATGTTGACGATTGTCTTGATAATTGATCTTGCATACCCAGCAGTCTGGCATAGCTAAAGCTAAATTGTGCAATAGTGAAGTTGTACAGTAAGTGTATGAAATAAAATTTTTCCAAACCTAGGCTGTTGGTATCCTGTAATGAACTTTTTCCCATTATTATTACATATTTTACTTTTTTGAGTTGTTTTATCTAAAAAAAAAAAAAAAAAGTCGCCATAAAAATACAAAATGATACAGTATAAAAAATAAATGTCTGAAGATTAAAAATATGGTACATAAAATTACATAAAAATTCAGTTTCACATATTAAATATTACATACATAGGCCGATTACATTAAAGGTAGAAATATTACAATTAAAAATATCAAGTAAGAGAGAATGGCAAATAACAGAAAAGTCTACACTTATGTGGATAAAGCCAGCCCTGATTACTTGCTATTCTTGGTTGCCAGATGCTATTTTTGGGTATCACAGATGCCATAATTTCATAATTTGTTCACATCATGCATGCTGTTTCTGCCCCTTGCTGGGGAGTGGTATTTGGCTCTATAAATTGTTGTATAATTGCCAGTTGCTATTTTCGGGCATCCCAAAATTATACTTTTAGACTAAAATATTAGGGAACAGCAATCATATAACGTCTTTGATTGGATTTGAATATTAATTTAGTCCGATGACCTCATCGTGGTGTCAGGACGTGTGGTGGTGGGGGATGTCGAGATTTGTAACAGGTTGGCAACCCGACAAAATCAACAATTTCAATGCAATGCAAAGCAACGATAACTAAAATTAAATCAATACCAAACATGCCTATACGCTACAACCAGAACCATCAAAATTTTGCCCAGCTTTTTAGTCGCCGTGCTCAATGGGAAGATTTGGCTTTGCTCTTTGGAAGTATTACTATTTTATAAGACTAAATATAGCAACCCAAATTAGTTTATACCAAATCGAAACTACTGATTTTTCAGGCTTTTCACTGCACCCTTACCGGAGCCTTTATTAAGTTTATTTTCCATTGATTCCAAATTCTACTCACTTTAAACAAAGTTTCATCATCATCATCATCATCATAATTATTTCATATTTTGTCTGGGCATCCAGGTAAACAAAGTTTCCACGGTATGACCACTGAACCCCTGTAACAACTAGCAACATTTAACAACATTGTGCCCCTTCCCACTCTTTTACAAAAAAGCTGGATAGCCCTTGAATGTTAGTGCTCTGTCTATATCACCTGTTAAATCTGTACATGGAGGTATCTACATGGTCTGCCTGAGTGTAATCGCTGTAAGGTCTACCAGAAGAAAACACAGGATTTAATTACAGCATTTTAACAATTCAAGTGATAGTATAACTGACCTGGAGCATGATAAATAATTGATTTGCTTCAGACTGAATTTGGTAAAGTGTAAATTAAATTGTATGAGCAGTAAGTTTGTCAAAACGCGACGTTATTTGTGTAGGCATAGGAGGCCTACTGTATTTCCATAGATAATTTATAGCATACTGTATCATGTGTATTCATAGAACATGTTCTAGGCCTATTTAATTAATTGCATATTTTTAATATTTCTCAATACTGCACGTCGTGTAGATATTAATTACACTTTTCATTGTTATTCCTTGTACATATTCGTGTTTCCTGCACTTTATTTATTCATGGAGGAATAAGCAACTTAATTACATTTTGAACAATATATCATTTTCACAGTTAGACCTACATTTGTCTATTCCCATGATTTAAAATAATCTTGCGAATTGTAATTTGGTCAATGCTACCACATTCTGTGTCCAGATATAGCATTTTTAACCGGGATGCTTTTTTCTGTGCCCACTCTTTAGCATCATGTACATGGCATAGGCCTTTATTATCTCTATTTTTTCTTGAGTCATACCAGTAAGAATATGATGCCCTTTAAAAAAATCTTCCTATTAGTATTATATATGGGAGAGTACCTCATGAACATTATTCACACACACTCAAGCCTGCTATGGGGATATATTTTTTTAAAATTTTATTTTATTTCAACTTTATTTCACGAGGGTAGCTCTAACAGCTGCACTACAGTAGTACAGCTGACTTGAAGAGGTCCTCGAAAGAAAAACAATACATAAAAATATATACAATACATTAAAAATCTAAGTAAGTAAAAGCTTCATTACAGGTTTTTGTTTTGGTTTTGGTGGCATATTCATGCCACGAAACTTAGAATATGGAATATAGTGTACGCTGGGAGCAAATATTTCAATATAGATAAATTTAGTAAATGCATGATGTACAGTATATGTGGCAAAGACAAGCCAAACCAGTCACTCGTCGCAAAAACTGATTTTGAGTTATCAATACAGTGTTAGAGAGTAAAATAATAGCTATAAAATGGTAAAAAAATCATTCAAATTGGACATTTCCTTATGAAGTTACAAGCGTTTAACCACACAGCTGTTTAAAGAACAATATATGAGAAATTAGCCTTCAAAGTTTATGATTTCAGGCATTTCTTATGCAGAAACTATCTTTAAATCCTTAAAAAGTGTTGTTTTAACATTGAAAATGGGGAAAATAACAGCATAGGATTGTGTGTATATATATATATATATAGGTTAGTTTAGTGCAATAAAATAGATTTTTAAAAATTAGGCCCTGTCTCTTATACACATCTAGATGTGTATAAGAGACAGACATATGGGGCAGAGGTGGGTATATCTCTAGTCCCCACTAACTTTAAATCTTTGTGTGCCAATAAACAGGATGGGGAGGGGTGGTGGCTATACAGGTTTGCCAGCTTGTATTTCCAGGCATCCAGCGGTACCATATTTCCAACATAGACTCTATCTCCGTGCTAATTTTATTTCTTTGAGGGGAGGGGCTAGCAGCTCTACAGATTGTCAGCATTTATTTCCGGGCATTCAGAGTTGCAAAAAAGTTGTTCAACAACCATGATGAGGCTGATAGTGGATGCTCAGCACCCTACTAACTTTTACAACAAAATTTGTTTAGTCCCCCCCCCCCGCTTCCGACGGCTATGCAAAAGTTGCACTGACTATTATTATTATTATTGTTTATTTATATAGCGCATCAAACTTCTCTATGTGCTTTACAACAACAAAAAGTAATCGATTTCAGTTAGGTCGAGACTAGGTTCAATTAAAATGAAACAAAAGTGACTCCAAATAGAGAAAGTGAGGCCATATTACTCAATGTTTCGACTTCATTTAATCATCAGGAATAAAAACATAGTGATAGTATGTACCAAAAATGCTACAATATGCAAATACAATTGATGAACCATAATATAGTAATAAGCAGCGATTGGGATTGGTCTAAGCACATAGGGTGTAATCAAAATTAAATAAACAGTTTCAACTCTCTAGAACCTCTTGACCACAGTTAACTGAAGGCTTATGCCGGTAAATAGCAAGCGCTTCTTTAAATAACAAGTGGGACCAATTAGAAGAACTATCAATTATTTTAGTGTTAGAGTAAATCATCAAGTGTGTTAGGTAAATTATGGAGTCCTAAAATTTAACGAAAATTATCGCAGGTATGAACGTGATTATGAACTACACTGTTAGATAAGGTAGCATGTTCATGAATTCTTTTAATAAAACACTTATCTGTTTTACCAATATAGTCATGGTTGCATCCAGGACATTTAAAATGTACACTACAGAACTTCTATACTCTTTTGGAGTAGTATCTTTTGTCGTAGTGAAGTAAGAAATTTTCTTAGTCTTCCATATAGTAATAAATTTAACATCCTTTGTAAGATTTCCTGCAACTTTAGTAATCATTCTGTGGAGAAGTATTTCTCTGTGTTGACCAATATACAGTACGGTACATGAATCCATATTTTATGCGTGGTATCATCATTATCAACATTTGGCCTAGGTGAGTTATTAAGATACCTAAATAATAGTTTGCTGCTTAATTTTGTAGGAAAACCATTCCAAGACATGAACTTCTAAATTTTACTAGTTTCAATGTTTCAACAAGTACCTGGGCTACACATTTTCTTAGTTCTAGAGACTAGACTTCTTATCCACGACACCTTATGATTGAAAGGGACAAAACTGTCAAAATTAACATACTGACTGGTGTGTGTTGTCTTCTGATAAATACTAATTTCATTTTGATAATTAAAACTTAAGTCAAGAAAGTGAACATTGTTGGTAACATTAAAAGTTTCAAAAGAAAACTTAAGTAGGGTGAAATGAAATTGAGAGTCTAGAATTAATTTGAGATTGGAGGGCTTAGCTAGAATCAGAGTGTCATCAACAAATTGAGCATAGAATTTAATAACATCAGAACGTTCTAGATCAGCTATGACAATTTGCTCTAATTCAGTCATTATAATGTTAGAAAGCATGGGTCCGAGGGGTGAACCCATTGACACACCATCAACTTGCTTATAATATTCATAATTACAAGAGAAAATGGTTTTAGTACAAGTATCTTTAATTAACTTATAAAATGTGTTTTTCGTAAGGCTAGTAGAAATAAATTTCATGTTATACAGTAAATTCTTTCTAATATAATTATAACAATAGTTCTCGAAAGTCGAACATTCATAAACAATGACTGGACGTCAAATGACAAAAAACGATAACCTTAATTATACGCTTTTAAGTATCCAGTAGTCTCTTGTCTTCTTTTTTATGATAGGATTCAATTATGTTTTTATTCTATTTAATTCTATTCTAATTCTATTTAATACTGATGAAAGTTAGCATTTCATGGATTTTTCAATGAATTATTCCATTAGCCTTTAAAACTTTTAGAATAATTTTCACCCAAGAGACAATCTTAACCTGATTTCCAACCACCAAGAGACCTGTCTGGTTTACACACTTATTAATACCATCATGCCATGCAATTACTTGTAGATCAAGGAGGACTTCTTTACTGAGTCAGTACTCACGGAAATGGGCAAGCGTTTACTAACATCCTATTTCTTGTTGACACCGGAAGATCTGCACAATTGGGAAAATGACCCAGAAGATTTTACAGCAGATGAAGTTGGTGAATCTTGGAAATATGGTTTAAGGGTGAGTATACATTTCAGTTTGATGCAGGTGATACATAGAGGGCAGTATAATAAATTTACAAAGCTGTAATTGGAAATTACATTTTTTTCAATCAACCGACTTGTTATAACTTATTTTTGAAATTTTGTGTAGGATTTATAGAGCACACATATCCATTAAAGAACTGCTGAAGACACTATTTTCCTTATCATTGGATACAAAATCAATCTTACAATATGCAATGTCCTCCACTCCTAATGGAGTATTTCGAAAGTAGTCATTATTGTGATCACCATTTTCAATTAAAGATCATTCAACCCCCTTACCAGTTACCCATTTATACCCCTGGGTAAAGAGATTCAAACAAAAATAATGTCTTACCCAAGGACAAAAGCAGTGTGACCTATGCAAGTCTTGAACTCATGACCTCTTTATTTAAAGCCTGAAGCCTCTCCATTGCACAACACAACTTCTGTGTGAGTGAATCATAATCAATAACTGCTCTTTTGGTCCCTGGGTTCAACTCTATTGCTTCTCTAATTGTTTCACCTGGAGGGCTGAAATTCAAGATCATTACATTGTCTTTCAGAACGATGTTTTTGCCAGGCTCTTTTTATGAATCAAAAGTTTTTTGCATTGTTAAAGATACTATTGATGGTGAAGTCAGGGTAAATCCCCCAAATCAATTAATACATTTATTAATTACATTAGATATACTGCTTTGTAAATTTAATAATCTTAAAATTTAATTGCTTAACTTATATCAATACAGTAATTTTTCCAAATCAAATTAGAATGAAAAAGAAAACTATTGTGTATGTCTACTCTTTCCATATACTGTGCCTTTCCATGTAAATTTCTGGCAGCCACAGTTCAGTTCATATCTACAGTATGTGATTTTTAAAAATAAGTATACTGCTTCACAGTTTTAAATACATTTTTTAGGTTGTTTTTCAGTATTTTTAACGAGACTTTTTATATACCTTGTTTAGTGAACCTGCTGCCCGCCAATAACGATGGTTTTTAATAAAAATTAATTTTATTTTTGGCCAATTAGCATACCCGCAGCCACGAAAAAATGGAAATTTCAGAGAAAAATAAAGTTTTTCTTTGTTCTTATACGCCCGCCACTGCCTTGAAATCTCCAAAAATAAGATATGTACTGTATATTTCTTCCTAATTATATAAATCTAGAGCATTTAACCATCCCATTACTACACTGCTCGCATTCACCAATAAAATGTTAGTTTTATTTTCTCCTCCATCTGGATTTTTTGGCAAAACTATTTGCTAATTAAGAAAAACAAAATTTTATTTATTTTTTTCTGACGATCATTAAAAGTATAAGTTAGCGAAACAAGATACAAGAAAAAGTCTCCCCTTAGGTTGAGTATATCTTTTAAAATATTGCACTACACATTTTAAAAATTTAAATTGATTACCAGTCAATTTCAGTATCTAAGAAAATAGGAATAGTGTTATTTATGCATCTCTTGGCACTGAAAATATTTTCTTATTTAAAAGTGTAATTGAGGCCTAATACTCAAAATTTAAAAGAAATTTCATATTGAATTTAATTTTACAAGTTTTTAGTTCAATACATAATCCTAAAAGAATTCTGATAAGACTATATTCTCCTGGGGTATGGATATGAGTATTAAATTTTTAAAAATACTTACAATAAATGAGATCAACTCACTGGCCATGTATTTAGATTCCCAAGTTAGAATATTTCTTGTTTACGATTTGTATCCTTATGACCAGATTAAGTGAAAATTATAATTTGTTTTAAGAGTATTTACAGTATAACCATCACTTCACATATGTAAATTTTAATGGAAGTATCCACTGACATGACATTAGTATTGATGGGCCTAAAGGGTGAATACCTAACAGTTACAGCATAATATTTTATTTTTTCCCAGCCTTGCACTGAGAAACTGTTTCTTGCATTGTTCCATGCATATGAATCAATGACCCCATTGCTGCTGCAACTTGTACAGTCAGTCCAAGGTAAACTCAGCAATTCCTGCTGAAATAATTGTACTTTTGTACTTTTTTTTTTATACAAATTAAAGAGACATTCTCTACTCATCATATGATCACAAATTAGTAGATTCTGAGAGTTGATACAGGCTACTCAATGCATAGTCTCGATATTAATGAGTCTACTCAATGCATAGCAGCCAGTCACAGCATGGTGTGTAGAGGATGTTAACATTTTCAATAGGATTAGGCAAAGGTTATTGCATGAACAAATGGGAATAACCTTATCATTTTCTAATATAATGTCAACAAATGATAATGTTATAACTTTTTCTTGTAAAATTATTAAGGTAAGATAACAATTACACAAATAATGACTTTATTTTAAATCTACACTTTTGCATCAGTGTAAGTGTAAATTACAGGAGGGAACGTTTGGAAAAAGAAACCATAATTGCTAAACAGAAATAAAAATCTACACTTTTGCATCAGTATAAGTGTCAATTACAGGAGGGAACTTTTTTTGAAAAAGAAACCATTGCTAAACAGAAATAAAATATGGAGCAGTCTACTTGTTGATATAAAAGTACAACAAAGGGTTTTTTTTTATTATGCAGTAGAACCTCATTTTTACGTACCCTATTTATACGAACCGTCAGTTTTACATACGCCTTGTGCCGACGATGACGTCATTAAACAGCAATGTTGATTGTGTCTTAATAATGGGCTGTTATGTCTAAAACCACGTGGACTGAGTGAGATGAACAAATACAGACGGTACTCAAAATAATCTTTCCTACTTAGCTTCGTGTGGAAAACTCGCCTGATTGAATTTTCTAAGCAAATTTAACTAAGCTGGGTAGGCATAATTTCGTACACGCCCAGTGCAATGCACGAAGTTTTAGTTTGTCTCCAGCAGGCCCACACAACAGCGCATCTCTGTTGTTTAGATTAACTATTAAGGGGAATTCCCAAGTTATACCTTTGTCATATAGGTAATCTTACAATATTTTCATGTTCTTTAGTTAAATAAAAGATATAAAGTGATGAATTAATACACTAAACGCATGGTTGTATTTGAGCACTTTTTTATGACATCGTAAAGTAATCAATAAAAACACTAAACACAGTTATATTCGTAGGCCTAGCGTTCATTCATAACACACGTTTATTGAGTGTTGCGTATTTATTAGGTCAAAGGTCACCTCAAATTTAACCCAATATTAATTTTACGAATCCCCTGATTTACGTATACCCTTTGGTCCAGTACCATACGTAAAATCGAGGTTTTACTGTAACTTAATCTGATATAAATAATAATAAGTGTATACTCAGGATTTGAACCCGGAGCCTTGGAAGTGAAAGAATAGCATCTTCACAATCAGTCCACGTTTGCATGTCCATACTTCACTGCTTTGATTGAATTGCTTACTGTACCTTCCCTGCAATATCACATAAAAGTAATCATTGATGTTTGAAAATATGGCATTATAAATCATTTCTTGATGTATTAGTAATCTTCAACCTTAAAGTTTTCTTTGTTTTTAATTTACAGGAGAGACAGATGTTGAAAATATGACAAGTATTTTACAGAAAGAAGCCGGTAAACTGGAAATGTCAAGATTTAAAAAATATAACTTAATAGTAATTGATTATTTGTGTATTCTGGGATGAGCACACACGAACTGGCCAGAACCAGTTACCTGTACAATTTAAATTAGCAATTTACATTTACTTAATATTGAATCTTTTTTTAGTTTTTTTTTTCCATATTTTACCACATGCAGTCCATTGCTGATAATAGCAAGTATAGTGAAAATCAATTTAAAGGCACAAAGAATGACAATTTAATGTATTTTCTCTCATCTTAGTATATAATGCAGTTGGCTTGTCAGCATTTGAACTATACGATGAAGTAGATTTTGATCAATGGTTTTGCAATCATCTTCTGAAAGAACTTCAAGTCAAGCATCCTAGGTATGTAATCACAGGCAACAGGCCTATCTAACAAGGTTTTTTTTGTTTTTTTTTGGAAATACTCTTTTGCAATTCATGCAGTGTTGCTGAATAAGCTTATCTCTTACAGTTACTTTTTGTGCCTTTTTTAGGCTTGTATTCATACATGATGATGGTGGTTACTGATGATGTTGTTTATGATATTGTTGTTAATGGTGATGTTGATATTGTTGAAGTTGATGTTGATGATAATGATGATGATAATGATGATGCTGATGATAATGCGCTGATGATTGGTGTTCATGATGTTGTTGATGATAACAATCAGAGAGATAATGTGGAATGTCATCTACTGTCAATTTCAATAAAGTAAAACAACATGATCTGTACATATGTTATCTTCTTCACCCATACATATTTGTACACGGAATCGGTTAACACTATCATAATAGTGTTTATCCTATAGAACATATTACATAATTATTTTTTAGATTTAACTTATGGTATTTCCAAAATATGTCATCTGATATAATAAATTTGTTAATATTATATTCCGCCTGTCTGCTAAATTCCTATAAATCTGACATCTAAAATTTTTAAATATGTACAGTATATTGCGCATATTTTTTTTTCAACAAAACACATTGCTTTCCTATAATTATCGACAATGTTTGAAATCATGTATTCATAACTAAATGCGTCAACTGACAAAATATGTTTCCTGAAGGAAGTGAATAAAGAATATGAAATAACACTGGTTATGAAGCAAAAACAAAATTGTTTGTGTTGACCAAGCCTGTAAAATTAGGGCTTGCTCGATCAGGAATTTGTTGGTATTTAAACACAAACTAATTTTTGGCCTAATAAAATAAATGTTTGTCATCTACTGAATAAAAAAGCAATAGTTCAATGCATTTTACATGAATATGAATTGACTCTATTTCATCCTATATTTAAGTACTATAATTTGCATGCAAGCAATGATTTGTTTTGTTTACGTTTATTGATGTATATTCATGTTAGCAATGTTATTATGTTCTTTAAAATGTCATTATTATTATAATTATTATTATTATTATTTTTATTATTTTTATTATTATTATTACTATTATTATTATTATTTTTATTATTATGTTATACTGTTTTTAATATTATTAAGTAATGTAACAATTCCAATATATCATCACAGGTACAAGATAATACGACGAAGAGTAATATGTGTAATAGGACAGTGGTTGGATGTTAAACTTTCCCCCAGCCTTCACCCACTAGTGTATCAAGCTGTCTTGCCATTGCTATCCCCTGAAGAGGACCTTGTAGTTAGGATCACAGCTGCCAAGACACTGAAGATTGATATCCTTTAAGATCTGTAATAATAATTGTTCTGTAGATAAGACAGGGACTCTAGGAAATACAGAGGGTCTAATACAGTAATCTTCAGCGGAGACCAGTGGTGAAGACTTCGTGTAGTCACATTTGTACCGTTTGGTGTCCAGCTGAACTTTGGCAGTCTTCAGTGGTAGCCAAGGGCAAAGACTTGGTGAAGTCCACTCATCGGTGCCCTCTGGTGTCCAACTGAACTTTGGCAGTCTTCAGGGAAAGCCAGGGGCATGCATCTGTGCCCTTTGGTGTCCAGCTAGACTTTGGCAGTCTTCAGTGGTGGTAGCCAGGGGCAAGATTTGATGTAGTCTATGCAGCTGTCCCCTCTGGTGTCCAGCTAAACTTTGGCCATTTTGAGCCCACTCTGAAACTGCCACTGGATACAAGAGATGGAGGAATATACATCAATTTGATATTAGTAACTTATTTATTTCTTTCTAGCAACTCTTTGTTTATTACGTTCTTGCATGTATTTGATTTCCTTAATTAACTTACCTATTGATGATTTTGAATTCAGATCTGAGAACTTTGAGCCAGTAAGTAGTATTTGATAAGTGTATGATATACTGTAGCTGGTCGTTGACCTTCCAAACCAGGTTCAAGTCCTGCAATATTCATTCTGTTAGTATTGTTGAAGGAGACCCTTTAATATACATGTAATGTTACTAAATTGGCATCCTTGAAGAAGGCAATATAGTCTATCTTTTACATTATGTCCCAGGTGTGTACTAAAGTACAATTATAGACATTTCTAAATGAGGTGCTCAATTGCCATAGGTTTTTGTCCTTGGATTTATAAGGTATTTCATCAATATAGTTTATCTTGGTCTAGGATTTATCAATACCACCACTATCATTATTAACACCATTACCATCATCATTAACGTTATTAACATCATTTTCTTCATCATCATCGTCATCATCATCACCACCACCATCATTATCATTGTGTCCTCATAGCGGATACCCAGGGTGGATCCTGTAGGGCATACCAATGTTATGTGTTACTCACTTATCTATTCTGAAACTGTTGTGCCATCTGGAGTGGCCATATTATTAATTGTTATATACCAGTAATGTGTTTGGAGGATATAAATATATTGTTCTTGTTATGTTGGGATGATACTGATATTTGTAAATTTTTTTGTTTAAGTATCTAGAGTCCAGTTTTTCCTTGCTTTTTCAACTCCTACAGCAAGTATCAGAGTGTGACACAAAGGTAAATTTATAATCATACATTAACATTTAATGAACCATTTTTGTACATTTATTGAATAATGGCCATGTAAGTTTTTATTTTATTTCTTTTGGCAAGAAAATACAATACAAAATGCATTATATAGTAAATCAAAATACAGTATAACTAACAAGAAATGAAAACTTGGCAATTAATTACAAAGGAACTCAAGGCCGTGAAAAAAATTTAAAAAGCGTGGCGAAGCCACTGTCAATCAAGAAGAATGTGCTATTCCTTAGATGATGTTAATTTTCATCATATCGAATGACTACTGGTCAGCATCTAGATTTGATTGATTATTCAGACCTTTGAGGTCATAGTAATACTGCCAAAATGGAATGGTCTAATTCTTTATATAGTAAATTATGTAAAGCTGCAATTTTTAAAAGTTTCAAAATCCAACAGCAAGTGTATTCACAAATTACAGGATAAAATGTTCCTGTGTGAACTCTTCATGAATCTTAAGAAGTTCAGTTGCTTAGTTGTTAGGGAAAAAATGCTGTTGTCTATGAGGATTTTAACCCAGGACCCTGTAAGGCATGGAGCCAAGCCACTGTGCTACAGCTCCATTTTATTGGATTCAAAGCAATTTTGCTAAAGCCTGATACACATAATCTACACAAGTATATTAAAACTGAATATAAAGTGATAAAGAAAAATAGTGCAACCACACTGGAAAACACCACATTAAATAGTGCATGAATGTTTTTACAACCACACTGGAAAACACCAAATTAAATAGTGCATGAATGTTTTTACAACCACACTGGAAAACACCAAATTAAATAATGTTTTTACAACCACACTGGAAAACACCAAATTAAATAGTGCATGAATGTTTTTACAACCACACTGGAAAACACCAAATTAAATAGTGCATGAATGTTTTTACAACCACACTGGAAAACACCAAATTTTTACCACAAAACATCCAAGTTCTAGTCTATCCCTCACTACACTGTTGATTTCAATACTGTATGACTCTTCAACACATTCTTACGCCCACCCTGCTTTAGGCTGTTTTGGCCATGACTAATATTATACAAAATAATAAATATTAAACAAAATATATTTTATGCTACAGTATCTTATTCAGATTTTATTATGAACATTTCACTTGTTTTTTATATTCAAGATACCTAATACTTAACTTTGAGTTGGTTATTTTTAGATATTTAGTAATTTTATTCAGAATTACGATATAGTAGCCTACTTATATGCCGTTTACATTTCAAGCCATTTATATTCAGAATTTAGGTATAACTTATTTGTTATTTGTTGTTATTGTCCGGATGTGATTATGATTATCAACATAAAGAATATTAATTAAATAATAATAATAATAATTAAGAATCTGGTTTATATTTTTCAAAGTGTAAATTTTACTGACTATAACTGAAATTACCTATCATTAATGTTTGTTGTGCACCCTCAACATGAAAATGCTGTGTAAACGAATAAGCATTCTACAGGCTCTTCAATGCAGTACGTGCCTATTTTTGTACAACAAGGTCTTTATGTAAAGAACAATTGAATGAGTACAGCACTCTTATGCTTTACTTAAGGTCATGTTTAGAATTAAGTGTTGTTCGACTTGTAAAATGTCTATCTACAAGTATATTTGGAAAGTGTTTTCTTGCTTAACAATATATGTTTTTAGTTTGTGCCATCATTTGGAATGTATAAAATTCAATTCAACTCAATTCAGATACATTTATTTCTCAAAAAAAACAAAAAAAACTGAAAAATTAATATTAATTAATAAAAAAATTAATAAATTATTAACAGTTCAAATTTTATTTTTTAAATTTTGTTTTCTAATTTCTTGGGTGGCAGTATTTTTACACTGAATCCTGGAATTGGAGTGTAAAGCTCCATTCCAAATTGTAGAAAAGAAGGTGTGCAATATTGGCGAGTTGGATGGCCAAGTGGTTAAGGCAGGGGTGGCACAACCTACAACCATAATAATTATTGGCGCTGGTTCGAACAGCATGCTCGCCTATGGTTATGGTGGTAGAGTGTATGTGTATGTATATATATGTATGTATATATATGTGTATATACTGTATGTATATATATACATATTTAAACCTATTTGTCTGTTCTTTTTTTGTAATTTTCAATATCAATTTCTGTCTTTTTTGTGTGTCTTATTGTTTTGGTTTTATAAGGACCCCATTGAAAATGAACATGACTATTGTCGGCTTAATGGGTAATCTTGGTGCTCTTTTGTCTTTGCGTCTCATGTATTGTTATCTCGAGTACCTAATAAATCAAATCAAATCAAATCAGTAAATATTTTGTGATGAGTAGGGGGTTACCCCGGTGTACTGGTTCATACAGCCCATGTTGTGGACAGACGAGAGTAGCTGGTACCGGTTTACCTTGTAGCTCGGACATGAAGAGACCCTTAGGGGAGAAGAAAGCTACTGTACGAGCTTAGTCCACGCTTCGCGTGCTTGAAACTTCTGTATAAAGCGCTATATAAATCGAACGACATTACATTACATATCAGAAATTCTTATGTCTTTTCAAATTTATTGCTTCAATTTTTTATTTATTTTTTTCCAGATGCATATATTACACGTTTTGTCATTTGTCATTGAGAGATCTGGAACGTGTGTAAGTTTTAAAAATATACATTTATTAATTCTGTATAAAGTTGATGAAAAATAAAACTGATCTTAATGTTGTTGGCTTTCTCGAGAAGCACATAGATGTTGCTTCTGTAATCCACTCTGTGTATGACCTTTGATTACAAGTACAGTGCCACACCTCTAACCTGTCCTTTTCTCAGGTACAGCCACATGTGTCTCACTTGGTCCAGTACTTACCTTTACTTTGGGAAGAATCCAGTGAACATGACATGCTAAGGTGTGCCATCCTTTCCACCCTCGTTCACCTTGTCCAGGTAAGTTGTATTTGTATATTTGCAATTTTTTTGTTTTCTTTTAAAGCTTAATAATAAGTGAAGTATTAAAACCAAACTTATTGGTTATCAAGTACTGTAACTAGAAAATTTTCTTATTATACAATTGGGAGAAAGATTACAAGATATTTAGAAAGGTATGATATATTAATGGTAGGAAAGTAACCCATAACTGACAGCATTGCATTTTGGCATGGTCCATGTTTACTGCAGAGAGGTGCTAGTAGCTTCATGTTAACATCAATGGTAGGGGCTAAAATTAACCAAATATTTTACGAAAGATGCAGTGGATTTTTAAAAAATTACACAGGAGCCAGATGGGTACAGTAGGTTGGACCTCCTGTTGTATGTCATTACTGCTCGACCACTTGACTCGCTCCTGTAGAAATTGGTAAACAATTTAATAAGCCTAAAAAATAATAAATTGTCTAATGTTGACTACTAAGACATTTGGACTGAACCCTTGGACTCGACTAGTCTGTGATAGTAACATATATACAGTAGGTTTAATCCTCTTACCTGAAGTTTGAAAGTGGTTATTTTGGTATTGTACTGTATTGTTTTTTAATGATCAAAAAATAAACATTTGTGTCACCAAAATACAGGTATGTAGAAAACTAAAGTATGTTGTAGTGAATGTGTTTTTTGTTCTTTGTGTGGTGTAGAGCCTTGGATCCTTGAGTGTCAATCTATACCCATTCCTGATACCAATCATTAAGTTTAGCACAGATCTTAACCAGCCCCCTCATGTCTATTTGCTGGATGATGGCATTGAGTTGTGGCAAGAGATGCTTAAGTGTGCACCTTCACTTACACCGGAGATGCTTCACCTGTTTAATAACATGCCTGCTTTATTAGGTAAGTATATGTAAGTGCAAAAAGTATATGTAAAATATGAATTTAAATTTATAGTCTTGTTGAATATCATCAACTCATAAATTTAAGATTAGTCCCCCGTGGGCTTATGGCAGCCATGAAACAACACACACCAATTGTGTCCAGTCCAGTCCAGTCCAGTCCAGTCATGGTTGTTTTATCTGCCTCAGTGGTAGATTTGCCTACCTTTTAATCGATTACTGTCCAATGGTGATATAGCACATTTTTTTGAAGGGATCAAGATATTTATCATTGAACAAGAAATAGCATTATACTGCTTCCATATACACTGTGCTGTAAATATGCATCTGAAGTGCTAAAAATGGTATTAATAATCTCTAATATCCCATAGAGTAAAAAAACAAGCACTCAACCCCAGAACCCCTTACTTTAGTTACTGAACCGGTAATTATTTGGGTCGCAGTCAACCCTTGATCCGCCTTCTATTAAAAAGTCTTTATAAGCGTTGAGGCCGATTTTCACTGGGAATGGTGATGTTACATGTTAATGTAAAACAAATTAAAAATGAAATTTAGGTTACATGAAGCTATTTAATATTCTTTTTATATTTTACTTACAGAACTTGGAACTGAAAATTTGAAGAAATGTTTTATGATCACAACGTCTTATCTTCTACTTAATCCTGAGGAATTCCTCACGGTAAGTAATACTATACTTAAAAAATATCCAATTATTTTCTTTCTTATTCAAGTTTAAGATCTATAAATTTTCTTTGTATATTTTATATTTCCACTTGCCAGTTTTTGTAGTGTGCAATTTCCAGTGAAATTTGCCAATGGATGTCCAGCCTAATTTGTGTGCTCAATATGTGATACTGTAATTTACTTTTTTTGTGCATTTATTGTGTAATATTTGAAAAGTGTACTCAATATTATTAATACATTTTTTGTGCATTTTTTTTATATTTGGAAAGCATTCTTAATATTATTAACATAGCCTGATGAAGTCTTGTTGATAACATAGGCTAAGCTTGCAGTATTCTTTGTGCTTGGTTTAATTATCAATCAAACAGTTCTAAAGAATAATTATTGTTTGTACTTTTAGGCTTTTTCGCATATCATTTTCCAAGGATGTGCTAATCTGATACATGAGTTGAAACCTGAGGGCATAGTTATAATTGTTAAGGTAACATCATCATTCTTGTTCTGTTTTGTAGTTCATCCACAAAAATACATAAATGTTTGATTTTTAAATAATTATGTCAAAGTTATCAAAAGTATGTAAGATATTATTTACAGAAGTAATATGTTTATTTTTAATTTTGCTTCAGCTAATTGAAACAGTTTTCAAACTGTTTCCCATTCGAGGACCAGAAATATTCCGACCATTGCTGCCAATAATCCTAGAGGAGATTCTAGAGAAAGAGGTGATTATCTTTATAATTTTGTTCAATATACTATCTTACCAAATATACTCTAAATACACTAAAGGTATTTTGGGACACAAACTGTTGTGCTAGTGTAACTGATGACATAATTAATGTCGAAATATTGAATCCCGACACGATGGCGTGCATTTCGATACTTGGAGTATGTATTATACTATCTTATCTGAGATTAATCAGTGGACTATTCGGTTTTTAGTGTAACTGAAGTCATGAATTCCACTGTCTGAACTTGCAAGTGAATTGGTTCAGCCTTATCTATACTACCTTACTGGCATATGCTCACCGATCTCAGATAAGCGAATAAAGCGATTAAGAAAATCCATGCTTTAATAATTATATTTTTTATCCATACCTAAAATATAGATGTATATTTCGATAGTGTGTGCGTCAGGAAATACAAAAAACTGGAATAACGTTTTGACGTATTACCGTAGTGGATGCTCAGTTCACTACTAGACAACTAAGTTTGCACCTGATCGATAGTTAAATTCAATCCCCAAGTAGCATACAGTAGGTATGCAACATGGTGTTTCAGGAAGGAATGATGTTTTGCCCAATCTGACGTATTACCGTAGTGGATGCTCAGTTCACTACTAAACAACTAAGCTTTCACCTGATCGATAGTTAAATTCAATCCCCAAGTAGCATGCAGTAGGTATGCAATAGTGTTTCAGGAAGGAATGATGTTTTGCCCAATCTGATGTATTATATTACTGTATACACCATACTTTCCCAAATACTTGTGAAAAAAATATCAGCAAGTAATTTAAGCTTGGAATCGAACCTCAACCTCCAAAGAACTAGTCTGGTATCATAACCACTACACCACCGAGGTTGCATTTAATGGCTAGAGTTGAATTCGACCCTCAAGTAGCAGCAGGTTCTACACTGCTATTTCAAAGGTGTTTTGTATGGTAATTTGTCAGGTTAGGTACTATTCAGCAGTGTATATTCACAATATATTCGTTTTAAATAATAACATGCATGTATACATAATTTGAATGCCTAGTGCTTCTTTTTTTTTGTAAGTATGGTGCATTAAATTCTCTCTCCTGAATTCTAAATGATGTCATTGGATTAATTTTGTTTATATTTCTTCTTCAGGCCTATCCCATTCTGATGTCAATATACTTATCATTAATTGCTAGGTTAATCCTTAAAAATCAGACCTTTTTCTTCAGTTTATTGGAGGAAGTTGGAAACATGTGGACGCAGCAGGTAATTATGTCAAAAATAATTTGTCATTTTCACATTTCTTGAATTTGTTAACTATTTTGTCTCATATTTACAAGCTGAAACGGAGGTGAAGCAATTGAGAAATGTGTTTTTAATCCCATTTTGAATGTTTCCAATTTCTTAATAAAATAGTTTCTAAAACTGACCCCAAATCATTTCCCCTTCACCCACCTTTACTATGTTTATGATATCTAGGATATCTCAACAACTTTCCAAACCCAATGGCTTTTGCATGACACTTGGGATATATAATTATACTTTCAGCCTGAGGACATTTTGGAACAGCTGTTGCGTTTTTGGTGCGAGTACATGGTGAAGATAACGCAGCTTGAGAGACGTAAGCTGTCTGCACTAGCCTTCGGTGCACTATTGCCATGTAAATCAAGGTTTGTATAATCTTCCTCTTAAGTTATTAAAATTGAACAATAAAATTATTCATATCATCACTCACATCACAAACTAACACAATGACAATAGATTAATTGTGTTAGTTTATGAAAACAAAAAAGCGTGTTAAAATACGCACTGTTGTCATTACGGATATTTTGTAAAGGATACAAAATTGCTTGACAACCAATATATGCTTATTTTGACACGCTTTTTTGTTTTCCCGAACTAACACAATCTACTTTTATTGTGTGTGTTAGGAATGATATGGCTGTCACTAGGCTGTGCTTAAATGTTCACACCTCGACCTTGTATTACATGACTTGCCACCTACCTTATGAATATAAAAGTGTGTAGAGAGGCTATAGAGGGTACTACGTCATGGTAACATTTGATCCCAATTTTTTTACTCTGCAACTATGTACTAAGCAGTCAATAAAACTGAATACCTCCTCAGTCAGAATTCCCATAGCTTATTCAAGATATGTATCAGAAATTAATTTTTTATTAAAAACATGATGAAAATCATAAAATTAACCAAAAAATTCTGATGTATATTTAATTGTAAAAATACACTTACAAGGCACCAATAATGATAAAATGTTGTAAATTTAAATTGGAAACCTGTGTCAGTTAAAAAAACTACGGAGACTGCTCAGACTTGGTGTTGGGGGTAGTGTGACAGCAGTGGTGAGGATTCAGATTGATTCACACAATGTATAGAAGTAAAAACAAGACAAAACAATGATACTTAATTTGGAGAAGTCAAATAAGCCCAACAGGCTTTAAGCCTGGCTCCACCAGAGAAAAAATGTAATTTGTTTGAGGATCATAGACAAGACAAAACAAGACATACAAACACAAAGGAAACAACGACAAGGTGTTAGATATATTACATGATACAAAAGGTACAAGATCAAAAGGTGTTAGAAATATTACATGATATGTAATAACACCTTTTGCTCTTGTACCCTTTGTCGTTAAATATATTACATGATATGATGACAAGGATGTTGATGTGTTAAATGGTATAACAAATTTTGTTGTGATAGAAGTGATTGTTGATGGTGATAATAATAATAATTGTTTTGACATATATATTAATAATTTGTTTTTTTGAAAGACATTACTCTTTTTCTTCTTAGAGCTGTTGTCACAATGTTTCCCGATCTCTTTTATCCACTTGTTGAAGTATTTCATGATGTCATGCGTGAGGATAATGGGGCTCAATTTGAGTAAGTTATCACACATGTCATATAATAATATCATCTATTATCTCAAACTAACTTTGTGTGGAATATTTACATAAAAATTTTAATTTCATTACACTTTTTCTCTAGTTACCTGATTATGGGGGATAGGGAAGAACTGGATGACGACTATGAAACAGAACATGACAAGAGAAAACGACAGGTATATGTTGATTAATAATTAGATAGTTTGTTTTAAATGATTGATTGTTTGATTGCATTAAAAAAAAAAGTAGATTTATTGTTTGTAAATTAATTAGTTTGTAGTGATTAGTAGGTGAGTAATTGATAATGTTATTTGGTTCTTTCATTGATTGATTAATTAATTGATTTATTGATTGATATAATAAATATATATATATGTATTAATAAATTTAATAATAGGTTTATTGATTAGTTGGTGTGATTAAAAAAATTGAGATTTAATCATTAATTGAATGTTTGCTAGATTAATTATTTCGCTGATTTGCTGAGCATTTAACATATTGATTAATTAATTGGTTGGCTAATTGTTTGGTCGAATAATTAAATGTTTAATTGATTGATTGATTGGCTGTCTGAATTATTGATTGAATGATGATTAATTTTATTAATTGATTGATTGAATGACAAATTGATTGATTAGTTGGTTCATTTATTTTAATTGATTATTATTTTGTTCTGTTAGTTGGTTGACTGAGTAAATTGTTTATTAATTGATGGGTTAATTAAACAGTTAATTAGCTGATTATTTGGTTAAATGTGTGATTTTTTTACTTAATTGAACCCTATTTAAAATTTGGTTGGTACCATTTTACTATACTTTTTGTATTACTTAGTCATTTTATATTTCCAGCTGTCACTACAAGATCCTGTCTTCAACACACCACTACATGAATTCACTAAAGCACAACTAATGGTTTGCGAGCAAGTGTATGGGGCAGAGGAGTTCCATTCACTAATAGGCAGCATAGATAAAGAAATCAGACAACAGCTGGAGGAATTCTTGAAGTGATGCACTGCATTGTGGGTATTCATGGAAAACATTAACCTATGTGATACAGGTCACCTGTAACCATAGTAATACTGTACTGTGTTCGCATGTTACCATGATGGTGATATATGTAACCATGGTAATATTCTGCTGCTAACTCATGCAAAATATTCATTTTGGTATTTTTTAATCAATTGATTGAAGCTGTTTGCCTCCCTTCTGATAAAGATTACTTATTGAAGATGGTCATATATGACAATAAACACTGTAATATGGAAATAGGGAGTCCCATATATGTTAAAGATAAGTGACATATGAAAAAGCAGAAGAATTTCATTTATGTCAGCTGTGGTAAAGCGATCTGGGTGCCATTTATGACGAAGAACTATGAGTACCATATATGGACATTAATATAACTAGAATTCTTGATTATATGTCTGTTCTGATGGATAGACTTGCATATGTGCATACATTAATTCTTATAGAAATGTAAGTTTAAAATTCTACTAACATACAATTATTGTATTATTTTATCTACCATTATATTATGTTATGTTAATGGACATATTAAAGAAAAATATTGTGATTAAAATATAGATTGATTTTATATAATGCCTTGTGAATATATTACATGCCAAAAATACCTTAGAAATGGACTATAAGCACTAAAGCTTTGTCTACACTATCAAATTTAATGTGACAAAAAAACGTGATGTGCCCATATATGGGTATGATGATGTCATATCACACAAATTGTATTAAAAAAAAGTTGAACGTGTTCAACTCTATGTTCTATTAAATTTTATGTGACGCTCTTTTTGATGATATTTGATAGTGTAGACAAAGCTTAAGACTGTATGTAAAACAAAGTTGACAAAACCATGTAGGTTTGCTATGCCTTTAAAAGGTGTAGTAATATTATTTTCTATGTTGCCTTTAATTTTTGGATCGTTGCAGAAGTTGGTTGGAATATGTCTAATCATGGTCTAATATTTATATATAAATAAAACGTCTTGCTGTCAATATTATTTTAATTTTTTCATGTTACAAAGCTGGAAAGCCAAATATTATAGGAGTGAAATTTATCATGTAAAACCAAAGCACGGAGCACATGCAAAGGGGCGATACACACAACTGCGTGTGGGGAGTATTGCAATGTGGTTTCACTTAATTGTGCAGGCCTACTAGCTTTGCTTGGCAGTTGTACACAGGGTTTAGGGACAGAAGGAACTACGATGAGTTAAGGGATCATCATATTCTACCTTCCCCAATTACCCAGAACCGTATATTATTATTATTCTAGAATCAGTACAATATTGTTTTTTCAATGAGAAAATCCAGAAGTATACATATAAACATTGCAGAAAGCTATAATAACCATGCGACATAATGTTCCAATATTTTGTGTAGTTTACCCAGGGTCTGCAATTAACTTACTATAGTATTTATGTATTTTAAATGTTTATACATGCCCTTGGCCTTGCATGTGCAGGATATCTAGGCCTATGCATTTTACATTTAAACAGGGAGGTGCAAATATAATACTGTAGTTCTGTTGTATCGTGTAGCACCTAACATATTTAACATATTTTTTTACTAACTGGGCATTGTAATTCGTTGAAAGGGTTGAAATATTAAAATATATTCAATTTTTTTTCTGAAATGACCATGAATTCGTTTATTCTTATTAGTAATTAGTTTTTGTTTTTCTACAATTTAACGTGATGCATTGCGCTTTTATACAGTATGGCACCTGATACCGTGCAGTATGGCACCTGATACCGTGCAGTATGGCACCTGATACCGTGCAGTATGGCACCTGATACCGTGCAGTATGGCACCTGATACCGTGCAGTATGGCACCTGATACCGTGCGCTGAGTCTCCGACCGATAAATCGCGTCTATGTGAATGTTGTGTAGATTGACTGACTGTCTTTATAGGAACTCGTACAATACAATACAATGCAACAACACGATACATTTGAATTCCGAGGATAACACCAAAAAGTTCCATTGTGATCCTCACACAAAACTCTTGGCAAAACAATAAAAACAAATTTTTTCAACATGATAAAATTCAAATTAATGGTCATATAAATTATTAATCATTTAAAATACTAGTTAAGTGTTTAGAATTTAAAATACTGGACGTTTTCTGAGTGATACGCACTGATGTGTCCTACTGTTCAGCGAATGGTGATTTGAGCTTGCTTGTTGATGTTAATATTTTTGAAAGTATAAAATACGAGAGCCCTTAATAAGACAATTTTTTCAATGAAAAGAGTTAGGCTTCTATGACGTCTTAAAACCTATGATGGTATTTTTAGAGAATAGAAACCGCTAGAATCATGACGTAATAATCTCTGAGGGGATGATTACAAAGTCTTTTGCACAGTTAACCTTTTGTTTCCTTTTGTTTGTCTTTTAGTACGTTTTTTTTTTTTTTTTTTTTTAATCAATACCGTTTTTAATAACAGTGTGAACTCTATTCTGTCGTCTAATAACTTCCGGTAGCAGATGCCTACATGTTCTTTGTTACGGATTTCACCACGCTTGCTAGGAAGACTTTATCCAAGGATCTGCATTGTGAAGAATCAACTCCGGAAATCGTCGAAAACAGGCAAAAATACTTTAGCAGACGACACAACACGCGCGCACAGTAGTCGCGATAAGTTGACCAAAAAACAACACTGTCATTCAAACTGGATATTTTCGGGTAAGTCTATTCAAGTAGATAGTAATTTATTGGTATTTATACTCCTAGCTAAATATTACATTTCAACGAATGTGTTTTATCTTTTACATCAACAAGTTTTTAGATTTGTTGTCATTGAATTGAATTGAATTTATTCGATGCTCATATATAAAATATAAAATATAGAAATACAATATAGGAATTTTTTACAATAATCAAATACAACAAGCACCTGGAACACCCATTAGGCCGGGAATCCAGCCCATTTCCAATGGGGTCCAAATTGCACAATTAAAAAGTTATCAAAATTAATACATATTAAAAAGGAAAAGAAAAAAAAGCAACATTTAAAAACCAAGATGCATGATGGTCTACACTTTATAGACTTTTAGTAAATTTTATCTCCTACGTTAATCCGTTTTTTAAGATATTTGTTTTTGTGTTATTTATGTTTTTACATGTATGATATAAAAAAAAAATTCTGAATTCCGATGTGTAATACATCGTATCAATGAACTCATAAAATATTTAGTCCCAATTTCTATAGGCCTACATTATGTTAATCATAATGTTAAGGTTTGTTATAATATATGCCGGATTTAATTAGGCCTAGTGAATAACATTTAAGTATTATATCTCTATGAACTTGGACATGTGGACGATCCAGGACGTGTGTTTTACAAACAAAATGTTACGGTAAACATTTTTTAAATCACGGTACCTGTATGGTAAAATAAGTTTCAGGAGAAAAGGAAACCGCATTGACGTTAGCGATCTTCTTTTTCTATTTTGGTTATCCGGTAATGCTACTCTCCTTTTAAGTAGCATTTTCTAAAACCTTGGATATCAGAAAGTGTAGCGTAAATACATGTATTCTGAAAGTGAACACCGTCACATTCGCTGAGGACGACGCTTGATAGGCTATTATTCATATGACCGGGTCGAAATTCTGTTTTGCTTCCTTATGTCTGTCATTCATCGGTCAGTCATGTTCTGAATCACAAACATCTGCACACGATTTATAAAATCGAAATTGAAATAAAATATGATATCAATATGCATTTTGTATTAAGAAAAACCAGAATTTTGTATTAAGGAAGACCTCGGAATTCAAATGTATCGTGTTGTTGCATTGTATTGTATTGTACGAGTTCCTATAAAATCAGTCAGTCAATCTACACAACATTCACATAGACGCGATTTATCGGCGGTCGGTTGTAATTAAACGCTGATCACCACACTGCGCCAATGGACCTAGGCCTACCGTGTGTTGTTTTGTAGTTTGATGTTTGCTTGAAACTAGTTCTTTATAATGGCTGCAGCAATTAGCTGATAGGGGTCTTAAGAGCATAGAATGGCCCGAAGTGGGACTAAAATATTGCCTGTGGTGTCCATAAATAGAGATGTTATGGTTTAGGGCGGTAACATTGTTCATTTAGACCCACGCTTCCCAAACTATGGGTCGCCAAACTTGGGTTGGGTTGCGAGCAGGTTTGGAAGAAAAAAAAAACCAAAAAAACAAATGAATAATCGTCACACATTATTGTCTTATAAATAAAAAAAACAACTTAAATTTAAGCGACGAAATCAAGTTAAAAACTAGGCCTGGTCATTGTTCAAATGCTAAAAAAATCAGAAAAATCGGTCATCAAGAAGACAGGAAATTACTAAATTGTTTAAGAACGATGATGTCAATAGGCCTAATTTCAATTCATTCGTTCAATTTATTCAGATCACAAATGGCAGTAACAAGACGGAATTGCTTGTGATTTACAGATTAAAATTTATACAAATTGCTTAAAAGTACAATTAAATGACAGCAAAATACAATTAAATGACAGCAAAATACAATTAAATGACAGCAAATATATTTTTAAAAAGACGGTAACAAATGGTACATAACGATTAAACAAAAAACAAGAAGCAGACTTGGAAATAAAAACAGAAAAAAAGTAAGTAAAAACATTACAAGATTGGATGAAAAGTACAGTGTTATTTTAATTGTTTATTATTCTATGCATATTTATTTATATAGCGCCTTTATTTGCAGATACGAAGCGCTTCTCTCCCTGGTCATTAAATCCACATGCTTAAGTTGCCGCTGTATTCAGCACAGGAGCAAGCAACCCCACCAACCAGCAGGTACCCATTTATGCTCCTGGGTGGAGAGAAGCAATGCAGATAAAGTGCCTTGCTCAAGGACACAAGCGAAATGCACAGAGAGGGATTGAAACCCCGCCCTCAAGGTTGGGAAACCAAACCTTTTACGCTGCGCCAAACCGCTTCTACCATCATCATTATCATCATTATCATTATCATTATTATTATTATTATTATTATTATTATTAATATTATTATTATTATTATTATTACTATTATTATTATTATTATTATTATCATTATTATTATTATTATTATTAATATTATTATTATTATTATGTAATTAAAAAGGTTGGAATAGGCCTATTCAGTTATTATTGTTATGTAGGCCTAATTATTATTATAATTAATGATAACAGTGACGATATTATTATTATTATTATTTTCATCGCTATTATTATTATTATTTTTATTAGATTAAAACTGGAGTCAATATTTGAGAGATTGGGGGATTTCACAAGTCATGATTAAGATCATTGAGGCACCTGGTTAGGAAAGGAATTGCATTGTCGTGGTACTGCTTAGTCTGCCAACTTCTATTGGCATACTTATCGGTGTGCCTAAGTTGCATTTGGTGTTGTTTTGAATTAGGTTGGAACCATTCTGAGAATCTAGAGGATTTAGAGCACTCTATGCTGACGATACTTTTACCAACCCATTGACGATCAGTATATTAAGTTTAATGTGTGACCTTCTGTTTAGGAAACGCGTTGACCAAACTAATTTAATGATACCAACAGTCTTTATCTTGAAAATGCGTCCATGATGGACCCGAAACGTCGAGCTTTTTTGTCAAAAAAATGTTGTGTTGGTTATATAGTTAAACGTCTGTTGATTCGTAATACCTAAAGGCATGTAAAGAATTAAGTGTGTGAACTAAAGCTCTATAATGAACGATAAAACAAACATTGACTGTGCTAACACATATTTAGCGCATGCTCAAATTCTGAATGTGAAAAGTAAAAAATTAAGAATTTTTATTTGTTTTGGGGAAGAAAGGATTTCTATTATACTTTAGAAAGTAATAATCATAATAAGTTACAATAATTATATTATAATACTTATATATGTAATGGCAACATATGCTTTTATCAATTTTACTTTATATTTTATTTAGATGATATCAGCCATAATGTTTGCTATAGATCGACTACAATGTACGTTAATATGTAATACATTTAAATCAATTTAGATCAATCTTAATGATCTGATTTTAAATCTGTCTCTTATACACATCTAATGTAATAGTAATATTCATATTGTATTGGATTATATCTCTGTAAAGTGGAATCAAATAATTCCAACAAGAATAATCAGGAAGCACAATGGTTAAAATGTTGTACGTCACTGGTGCACTGAATATACACTGAGTTTCTGATTCTATTCCAGTTCTGCCTTCCTCCAGCATGAGGTCTGAAATAATAGGGTAGGCTGGAAACCAGAACGTTGTGACGATACAATTCTGGTTTATTCCATAAGGGCAAGGCTATTGCCACGCATACCGGTATTCATCTTGAAAAAATATATGTTCTGTATTTCAACGTTATAGTAGAATAGTCTTCTTGTACATTTTCATATTTAAAAGTGTGAAAAGTTTTCTCATGGGTGAAGGAAATTGATATGTAATTAATTATATTGATTTTTTTAGCCGATTTAGATGCTTTTTGTATTAAGGATGTTGTTCTTTCTGATGATTTTCGTATTACTGGTTGTTAGATATGTCATCGGCAAAAAATCATTCTCATATACCACATTCGTGGCAAAAAACAAACAAAAAACTCCAGTTCAAACGCCGAGATAATTTGGGCTTATAACTTAGGCCTAGAATGAATGTAATAGAAAAAACACGTTTTCTAAAATCCAGCTTTAGTTGTAACTCGTCCGGAAATATTGGAATACAATTCAGGATAATTTACCAGAAATGTTTGACGTTAGAGTTAATGTTTGACATGGGATAGGCTTACGCACTCGCACACATTCTCCTGATAAAGTATCATAGATTTGACTCTGTTTTAACTAATAAAATTATAAACAAAATCATATGTTCGCTTTGATAGGTTGTCCAGCGTGTACCAAACCCGAAAATGACCAACGCGTATGCGGGACGGATGGCAAAACATACGCTTCCGTTTGCTACCTCGAACGGAGAGTGTGTAAAACTGAATCGTCTGACCTAACTGTAGCGTACTCAGGAAAGTGCATGAACAATATAAAAACGGATCCTATGACAAGTAAGAATATAATGTTTCAATTCTGGTCGTAACAAGATGAGGTGAACAGAGAAATATAAACACTTCTAAAAACATGAAATAAATTACATTTTATAAGTTATAAAAGGAAAATATGAATTATAAAAAAAATGTAAAAAAATACATAAATATTAAGTGCTCATATAAAAACATGATGTAACAATCGTATCATGCATAGCTCTTCAACGAAAAGTCACCCTATTCTACCTAAATTACCGTACTCGCGCGAATAAGCGCCCCGTTTGAATAAGCGCCCCTCATAACGTGAAAATTTTCTTAAGCGCCCCGTTTGAATAAGATTTTCTTTTTAGCAAGTCAATAATCCAATCAATCCTGGCACTGTGGTTGTTGGCATGATTTGGGCTGTAGAGTGGAAACACATTCTTCTCGGTCAATATAAAAATGAGGATATTTCTCTTGGACAGACGAGAGCTCCGATCCCTGGACAAGCCATGTCGCTAGAACACTGACAGCTATCCGGTGTAACGGTGCAGATTTTACCCCAGACAATAACGAATCTTGGATGTATAATAAATGTATGTATGTATAAATTATATTGTTGTTATTATATATTTAAAGCTACATCAATCCCACTGCGAAGTGAACTTCCTATGAAGTCAATGCTAGTGAGTGCAAGTCATCCATTGGCAACCGACCCTACTGATCACCATGGTAGTGTACAAGTCAAACGTTGCAATTTGACTCTAGAACCTGTATGTGGTACTGATGGAATAACGTATCCGTCGCCATGTTTCCTTACAAGATTTGCGACTCTTCCTGGAAGGAGCGATCTAACTATCGCATGGATGGGTTACTGTGGTGAGTGCCCTTTTGGTGAAGTATATTGTTTAATTATGTAAAGCCTTCATATATGCCTGCTTTTTTGTTGTAGTATAATGATGACATTATTTTTTTTATCGTCAGATTTGATGTATACTGACCTACTGTTTGGAATAATTTTTCTATCATGGGCAATGATATGAATGAAGTAATGATGAATGATGATGGTAAAAATTAAATAGCAATAATCATAATGAAGATGATGAGCACGACGACGATGATGTGATTATATTCTATGATGATAATAGTAATAATAATAATAATAATAATGTTAATAATAATAATAATAATAATAATAATAATTATAATAATAATAAAAATAATAATAATTAAATAATAATAATAATAGTAATAATAAATAATATTGTTATTATTATTATTATTATTATTATTATTAATAATCAAAATGAACGTGTGACAGCCCCCTCCCGTTTAATCACTTTATCATTTTCACTTAAAAGTTCCACATAGGCCTAATGTGAATCTGGAGCCATCAAGCAAGCCCGATTTTGAAATCGTACCCGGACCTGACAATGGACCGGAACTAAATTTAAATCCTCCAGAAAGTGAACCCGAGCCAGAAATCGAATATGATTCAAGACACAATCTGGCCACTTCCGAAAAACCAACAGAAACTACAAAAAAACCATTAGCAACTACAGCACAGAAAACTACTCGAAAGTACAGGCCGTCTCGTAAACTCAGACCAACACGACGACGCAGTTCGTCGTCTCGTACTAAGCCGCCTTCTAGAAAACGAACAACTGTAAAACCAACTCCCGAACCAGAAAACCCAGTAATTTTCGACGGCAGCGATGTTTGGCAAGTAAATCGAAAAACAACTATGAAATATCAATCATCTGTGGCACCAACTGAATCATCAATTGAATCAGAATCAAGTGATGGAATTGGGATGGATTTTGATCTTGGTTTTGGTGGTGGTAGCGACCAGTGGTTTGTAACAAAACCAGACCCAACAAACCCGGTTAGTCCATTTACCGAAACTGCACCATCGAGTCAACAACCGGAACAACAGGACGAAGATCCTGAAACAGATAGTTTTGGAACAAACATTGATTTCGGTTTCGGCGGCAGTGATTTATGGTTTGTGCCAAAACAACCAGAACCGGAAACTACTGTACTACCACCAACGACAGCAACACCAGCATCAGCAGAAGTTTATTATGGAAAACTTATTGGAACAATGGTTCCTAAAGGAAGTAGACGCGCGTCTCATAGAACAGAAGGAGTCGTGTATGCTATCGATCAATCAACTATTCGAATTATGAATTTTAGCTACGACGGAAATGCACCAGGTAAGTAACACACTGATTTTAAATTGACTAGAAGGGTATGCGCATCATTATATGAAATGTAGAGGTCGAGGTTTATATTTCTTGAATTAACTATACTGCAGCGTCAATTATTTGCAATCTGTGGTTTTACTAAACTGATGTAGGCTTATTGTTTTATACTGTTTATTTTTAGCCATTCCGACTCTTAACGTTATAGATTTAGTGTCAGTGATAGTGGTAATAACAATAAACAAATTTTATAATTCACCTACTGCAATATTTACGATATTTCGGCTACATTCCCGGAGCCCTGTTCACCTCTTTGGCTTCGTATCGTAACAAGGGAGTGTGTTTTCAAGCCAACGTCGTCGCCTACCTGCTGATTTCACGCATGGCCAGTTATTATGCAACGACATGAATCTATTGTCTATTGTCGGATGTCTGTCTCTTATACACATCTCCCCGTTTGAATAAGTGCATTAGTATGTGCCACCATCACCTAATCCAGCATTTAATATTGAATCAAACTTTTGACAACGCGTAAATTCATTTCTAATATGATAAACAGTCGCTCTATTTTTCCATTCGTTTAACAATAATGTAGTAAGGGGCTACTTTAATTTCATTGCTTTGTTATCAGATGCGTTTTTCTATGCTGGATCGACCGGTGAACCTGATGATACTGGTGACGTAATCCCGGATGAAAATGGCAGGTAAACAAGCTAAATATTTTATTATTTTCTGTTTTTTGTTTCGCTAAATTTCCGAGTATATCAACAGATGATAGGCTGGTGGTGTACATTAAACTGCCTAGAAAAAGACTCTGTCGAGGAAAACCGGTACTAGTAAGGGGGTGAATGCCACTGTCGAGGATAATGATTTGTCTAACACAATGTGTCACACTCGACACCGCAGCTCTTGCAATTGTTTTTATCACCGAAAAAGTGAATGAGTTAAGCGCCCCAACGAGGGCCAGCTCTCCCCGTCGGAGTCTATTGAAAATAAAATATTTGTATATTTAATAATTATACAAATGGTACTAAAACTTGATCTATGTTTGGCACGTTTGTACGGGGATTCACACAAAGCAAATATTTCTGGTAGGCCACATGGAATACGTCAGGCCTTATGGTGTTTGTCACTAATGTTATTGTCTCGTGTTTAAGAATTGTTGTAATGACACCTGATATCTGTTTGTTATTTTTCCTTAAAAGAAAGCGAAAACTGAAAGCGTATGATAACCAGGAGTTAATACTTAGCTTACCTAAAGGCATGACGTTGGCGAATTACAAATGGATAGCTGTCTGGTGTCGTCGTTTTCGGGTAGGGTCCACTGTCTTATTTATGGTTATTTTATTATAATGTCATTGACCAGCAACAAAATTTCAATAGATTATAAATTATTGTTAATAAGTAGGTCCCTTATTTATTCGTTTTTATTTTATTTCAGATATAAATATTCATATTACAAAACAGTATAAATATAAAGAGGGACAAATGTAAACTGCATATAATAATCATAATAATGAAAATGATAAGGAGATCGGTAATTATAATGATAATTAGCAAACTATACAAACGTAATGTGGATATATCTACTCTATATTGTGTTGTATTTAAATATGTTTGTCAGAATCCTGTTTTTTCTTTGTCCATATTATCAAATTCGTGGAAAGACAATCACTTATTGATTGTGGCATAGTCGACTGTAAAATAAAATAAAAACGATTACACAAATTACAACTTGTATAGAGATATCATGTAGCGCTTTCAACTTTCAATACCATTTTCTGTTCCCTCTCTCCTCTTCCTCAATTTTTTCTTTTCCCTCTCTTTGCGGGGCATATCCATAGTACCCTGGATCCGCCTCTGTGGAACGCTCCATTTGTAGCGATTATGAGTCTTCTTTCATTTCAGGAGAATTTTGCTGATGTATACATACCAAGTGACTTCGTAGCACCGTCTGGATATGACTTAGGTGTACTGGGGTACAAGCCTCGAGTACACAACGTTCGCTCACCATCTGTCGTCATCGTTGATACTAAAAGCATACGCCTCCACAGTCTCACCTATGACGGCACTGTACCAGGTGAGTGCACTGGCCAGTTAACGAATTTAATGACAAAACATATTTGTACGTGAGAAATTTTATATTTCTACATTTTTAATATTTTTTTAAATATATTTATTTTCTATATTTTTTTTAAATATTTTTCTATTTTTCCAACTAGGCCTATATTATACTGTATTTTTACAAAAATTTATTCATGATAGCAAAATCAAACAAATTCTTAAAATTTTATACCACAGGTTTTTTGTATTGATTCACTTTCATGGTGATGACAAAGAAAACAGAAATGTCGACAATAACATTGACAACGACAGTACATCAACAATGATAATGAACAATCTCGTCGAATTAACGCTCATAATAATAAATACTTGATTATTCAAACCATTTCTTTTTGTTTTGTAGATGCTTCTTTCTGGGTTGGACTAGGTTCTCCGGATGCAAGAGGCCGAAGCGTTCCTTATGAAAATGGAAGGTGAACCAATGTTCATTTAATTTAAGTTGTACAACCTTTCTCTTGACTGGTGATTCTTTGTTGCTCTTCTGCATCTCGAATTTTTAGTATTCTTCGGTGTTATCATCTATAAATCCTCCATGGTGTTACGCAGCTTTGTGGCTGATATAGATTGCTATTGTGGTTTTTACATTTGTATATACTTTTGTAAATTCAACTGTTGAAAGTGGTTGATTTCATTAATTAAATGTAATTTTTTAATAGCTCTGATGGAGTACTTCCAAAATTCCGACGCGACACCATTACAATACAACTTCCAGACGACGTCACAGTTTTCGATATCGATTACCTCAGTGTATGGAGTGTAATTACCAAACAAGATCTTGGTCACGTGAGGATACCGAACCGCAGGATGTTGAATATTCCACCATATATTAAAATTGAAAAGGTATGATTAATGATATGGTATAGGCCTATAAGCAATTTCTTGTTGATTGTTAAGCGCTTAGAGGCGTCCGCATTTTGCGCTATATCAAATTTAATTTTATTATTTTTATAAGCCTAAATAATAATTGTTGATATAAAGTTATCTGTGTTAGATTCGATTACTGCTAATCGTAGCTTCCATTGTCAAGTACAGTATCCACGCTGACATGAATGATGATAATGATGATAGTGGTGATGATAATGATGACGGCGATATGATAATGATAACATTAAGTAACAATAGTTATTAATACATTTTTAGTTTTTGAAAAGTTTAATTGACAAAGTTAATGATGATTGTCTTAGAATATTATGTTCTACCAGAGAAAACATATTATATAAATTTGTACAAACAGGTTTATGATAGTTAAATCAAACAAATTCTTAAATATTTAAAACATACATGTTTATATTGGTAGAGTTCCTATAATAATAATAATAATAATAATAATAATAATAATAATAATAATAATAATAATAATAATAATTTCAATTCAATTCAATTGAAGTTTTTATTTTGGAATTACATATCCATAGCAATCAATACAATAACAAACGATAAAAAAAATATCAGATAAAAAGACTATGCATTCAGGGGTAGGGACGTCACATCCCTAAGGTCCTAAAGGCCCACATACCCCACTCTAACCGAACTGTGCATTAACGGGGTAGGGACACCGCTAAGGTCCAATGACCGTATACACTAATAATAATAATAATAATAATAATAATAATAATAATAATAATAATAATAATAAGGTTCTTAACCGTTCTGAAATCAACAGAACAAGTAGTTGTCATTGACTATCTGAACAGTTGACAAGCGACAACTGTATAGAACAAAAAGAGTACCGAGAGTAAAATAAAGACGTTAGGCCTAATAACATTCTACCATATATTTAATTACATTTATTATGCAAATATAATGCAAATAAGAAAAAAAGAAAACTTACTGTCTCTTCCTTTCTAATATTAGCTTACCGTATATTTCCTTATCTTTTCTTTCACTTTCCTTTCTTGTGCTTCCTTACGGTATCTTTCCTTTTCTTTCCATTCCTACATACCTATTTTTTTCTTTCTTCCTTCTTACCTTTTCCTTATATTATTGCCGTTCCTTTCCTTTCCGCTTTTTTATACTTCCTTATCTTTATTTCTTTTGCTTTCAATTACCTTTCTTTTTTTTTCTTCTTTTTTTTTGTCGTTTCTTTTTTCCTTGATTTTCTTTTATTTACTTTATTTCTGATATATCTTTCTTTCCCTTTTCTTTCTTATACCTTTTTCACATATCTTATTTCTATCTTATCTTTTCTTTCCTTTTCTTTCGTTTCTTATGATTCTATCTTGTCCATTTCTCTTCCTTTTATCATTTCTTAGATTACCTTGACTATCTTTCCTTTTCTTTCTTATGTTACGTTATTTCTTTCCTTTTCCTTTAATATATTTTCTCATATTTTCTTAACGGCATTATCAGGAAATAAGAGTGTTAACCTATCCATTTCTTTTATTTTTGGTGACATGAAATGCTTTCATTTTAAGAGGGTGATTATTTTCGGGCCTGGGATGTGTGAGCACCACTTCATTTGTTGATTCTGATAAAAGTCCGTTATCGATGAGGTTTTGGTTATCGAGTGTCGCTCGTCGTTAGTCCGGATGAAACTCCATTAAATTTTAGTATTTTCATTGGATGAGCTCGATGATGGGGTAGGATTTTTCCGTTTGAAACCGTCATATAACATGTTTCGAAGAAAGAAGTTGCAAGTTGGTTCAATTTTAGCTATTTCAGATTGATTGGGTCTCCAGGCATGATTACTGATCAATGTTGTTTAGAGCGTCATTTTAACTCAAAACTAGTTTTCGTTATCTCTAAAGCTCCGATGAGCCCTAACGGCCAAACATACAAAGAATATATATTAATCAATCAACCGAGTGACACTAGTGGCCCTAACGGCCGCCCATACAACAAAGATCTATTAAGGAATCAAGCAGCAGGTACTCCCAGAGTTCCTCGAGTTCCTCATCGGAGCTAAACAAAATGTTGGCCTTAGAAAGGACAGTAAAACAAATCCAATTATGACCACTATTATTTCGTGTGTGAATGACGCATTAACAAGATGAGAAGTAATAGCGCATCATCCTGTAGAGAGAATGTTGTAAGAGGACAGATGCGGACGAGTAAATGAGAGTGCTGTGACATGATATGTCAAACTTGTAAGACGCTTAAATATTAAAGGAAACAGCACACACATTTAGAAATGTCTGGACTCGGTTTTAGGAAATGTATTGATTATACTTGCATTATTTTTATCGTTCTATTTTGTTATTATTACACCACAAACTTGATTAAAATCAACAGGAATAAAAAGAATCCTATATATATATATATATATATATATATATATATATATATATATATATATATATTATAGGATACATAATGATATAGCATATAGCATATCTAAAATACGTCTTTAGAATACATTTCCTTTTAATATATTTTAAGACATCGACACCAACTCCAACAACAACAACTGTTCGTAACAGCGAAAGCCTATCAACAGACTACACAGTAAGCTGGTTGATCGATGGCGATGAGATAGAAGTCGAATTATCCACTCGACTCCAATCCAGGATGTACATGGCTTTCGGTTTCAGTGGAAGCAAGATACGCTCCGTAATGTTCGGTTCTGATGTCGCCGTAGCCTGGATGAACGGCAACACACCAGTGGTTGATGATTATTACCTTGGTGGATATTCGCAGGTGAGGACACTGTCATGTCATAGGTTTAGCTTATTTCAATATTGTGATTGGTTATAGGCCTAATATGATGCGTCGCCACAACTAGACGCGTACGATTATAACTTACTTAAACTACGTAGCTATTATATTTTTAAGCCTAGCCCCATGCTTGAATACGTGGATTGTCTCAGCAATAATATGCAATTAATTAATTTTAAATTAGTGTTCAGCTGGTAGTGGTGCATGTAAAGATGAATCGTTCGTCCTACCTGGAGTCAATGACTACACAGATGTCACGGGTTCAACAGTTGACGGTGTCACAACCATTTCCTATCGACGAAAACTGAATACAGGTTAGTCAATTACAAGCCTACAGTCGTCATCTTCATCATCATCATTAGTATTATTATTACTACTACTAGTAGTAGTATTATTATTAAACGAAATCTTTATAAACGCTTGCAAAAGGATAAAACCAAACTGAACGATACATCACATTTCTGTATCTTAAAGTACATGACCTGGGATTTATGGACTTAAAGACGAATTTAAGTTTATTTTTTTTGTTAAGTTTGATAAATCCACCCTTGAGGCCGTTATAAACCCGAAAATTAAAATTTTTGCATTATCGTATCGTACTAACGAATATTCCGCTGAGTTACTATCAGGTTAGCGGGTGACTTTTATTGATAGAAGTTTATGGTGGGTTTCTATCACAACCCTATAGAAGAAGGAGTCAATTAATAATAATAATAATAATAATAATAATAATAATAATAATAATAATAAATGGATGGATGGATGGATGGATGGATGGATAAATAAATAAATAAATAAATAAATAAATAAATAAATAAATAAATAATTAATTAATGGTTGGATTTATATAGCGCTTTACACCAAAGTCTCAAAGCATTCGAAGCGTGGACTGGGAACTCAGTCAATGATTTTCTTCTCCCCTAAGGGTCTCTTCGTGACTGTGCTACCCGGTAACAGCAACTCTCGTCGTCCAATTTGAAATTGTACAGCATTTAAATCAACACCAAATTATGTACTTTATAACATGTGTTGATGCATAGAGAAGAATATTCAATAGAGAAGTATTCATTTTGAGTGATCCCAGGAAAGAGGACAGTCTAATCGCAATCATTATTATCACACTACCATCATTTTCGTATGTATATTAATAATTAGGCCTATATTATTTTTAATTTACTATATTTTTTTTTACAGGGGATGCTTTGGATATGACCATTTCTTTAACAGACTCAATGTACATTGTCTGGGCGATTGGACCAATCAACGACGACGGATTAGTTAGCAAGCACATTGATATTGGAGGTGGCTTATTTACTACGTTTTATTTTCACAACATACGAAAACGATCGATTAATAAACAACCGTTAAAAAAAAACAAACCTCACTTAAAACAAATTAAAACTCTGACAATATTATGTTTTAATTTAGGAGATTCGTTTAGCTTTGGTCGAGATCCAGTGAGTAAAGCTCAGTCGTTTATTACGTCGGAACAGGTCGGTACAGCACATTCAGACACTTGGCCTGAAACAGTAATAGTAGGTAAAGACGTGACTACATTCGACGCCAAAATCGGACCAAATGGTGGAGGAAAAGGACACACTGCAGTAATAGGTATAACTTTTACATGATCTTCCAAAATATTTTGAGGGAATTCAAGAATTAGTGTTCTTTAAAATAATATTAGCCATATCTGACAATAATGTGTTAATTCAAACAGTTAAAAAATGAGACAGAATACTGATGCATAAAGTGTAAATGCCTTTTCACACTAGAACGATTTAAACACAAACAATTTCATTAATTTATTGTCGTATTCCCTCTTGCAAGAATTTTGCATTAAGCCAGGGTACGCCATGACGCACCAGCTAGCCTTTGAATTCGTTTGCGTTTGTATACGCGTCTATTATAAAGTGGTTCACACTGAAAAATGACGTATGCATGCGTTTTGTTTCGCGTTTGCACGCGTCAAACGCGTTAGTTCTATTGTGAAGCTTCGTGTAGAGGATTTTGAGCTAAGTTTAATACAAGGATTTTTGCTCTTTAAGCTGCATTTACATCCAGACTGTGTTTACGAAATACTGAATGTCAGCGTCCCTATTCTTACACACTGATTCGATTTTCCGATCGCTTTGCTAGGCTTTCCGATCCGAAGTTCGGTGAGGACAGGAGAGGGAAAGAGACGCGCACGTGAGGAAGAGGTCGCTGTGACTCCAGGAGCACAACCAATTACTTGTTAGGTTTAAGTCATTCCTTAGGAATAATAATACTGCTGTCTGTCACTAGGAAATATGTGGTTCGGAGGCTGCAACATCCCACTACGAATATTTTCTTTAAACTACTACTCATATGACAAATTTTGAAGTTAAGATAGCACGAAGTATTTCTGCTTTGGGGATTTCTTACGATAAACATCTCTTTATTTTTAATTCAGGTAATACTGGATGGGGCTTCGTTTGGTACATAAACGAGAAGCTAGCCCCAAGACTTATACTTAAACGTGGGGTAGAATACACGTTCCGCGTTTTTGGCGGTGACGACGAATCCCTAATTGCCCAGTATCATCCATTCTACATAACAGATGACCCAATAGGTGGTAATCCCTCTAGTACAGGTAGTATATTTAAGGTGAGGAACTGAAACGATACACGATGTTAAATTGAATGCTTTCTTTTAGGAACACTCAGAAGACACGATTGACAGGACATGCGCATACATACATACATAAACGTTGGTTGCCAAGGTTGTTTTCATAGAGATCCAAAGAGCTGGATTAACATTATTGGTTACCTAACAAGGAACACAAAAGAAACAACACTCATAATAATGAAGGTCATTAAAATTATTATTAGTTGTTTATCACCATCATTATCAAGTCATCATCATTATTGCCGTCGTCATGATCATCATCATCATCATCATCATCATTTAATTTCATTTTGGGACATGAGCCAAGGATGAAAATAGCGATACTGCTAATAATAATAATAAAGATGTGTATAAGAGACAGTATAAATTCATGCTGAATAGGACCTGAGGTCAGGTCGAAATATTCATGTTTTAATAAAATAGTGTTCTTGAAGTCTACTCCGTTTCGTTTTTTCTGTATCATATTATATTATATATTTGTCAGTATAATCATATACACCATATGACCAGGCCGACACATTTCATGTTCAAGAGAGCTTTTATGGGGGTATTTATTCGAGGGAGGCGTTCATTTTATATATATGTTTTGGGGTTGGGGTATAAAACTCCTCTTCATGTTGTGTTGCTTCGCTTCCAATAGTCATGTTCGAAGTCACTTTGAAGTGGCGATATTTCAAGCGGACAGTAATTCGAATAAATACCATACTAAATGGAAGTTAGACAATAAAATAGACACAAAATAGTTTTTATATTGTTTACTTATTATACTTTAAATTTTATTTTCATTAAATTTCAGTATCAAACAGTATATGCAGGCCCGGCTGGTAAGAAAACATTCCATTACTGTTTTTCTATTTAATTTGCTAAAGCCTCTTTCATCTACAGTCAAGTTTAAAAATAAGTCAACAGTCATATATGATTACCTCTGTAATTAATACTGAAAAATATTACAATTTTTCTTCAATAATAGTAATACAGAAGTATGCATAATAACAATAATAGTACAAAGTTAAAACACTACGATATCAAATAATTCAAAGCAACAAATGAATAATTGGGAATGATTTTTAAAACAAGATTTAAAACAAGAATTGTACAACAGTTAAAACACTACGATATCAAATAATTCAAAGCAACAAATAAATAGTTGGGAATGATTTTTAAAACAGGATTTGCTATACTTATTATACACAAAAGGTTTAAAATCATTAAAATACATAATAATCATTCTACTTTACATTTTACACATTCAATTTTTAAAAATTATGAACGACAGTATAATAATGAATAGTTAAATCAGTTACATAAATTAAATAAAGTTGTTAAAATTAACATATTACAGCAGTCAAAATCATTTATTGCTTTTCACATTAAGTCGGTGGCTACTGCGAATACAGAAACAAAAAACAGAACAAGAGCAAGCAATCGTCAACATTTGAAGATTACTTCAAAACCCTTAAAGAAAAATGCAACAGAAGGGTGTTAGCCGGCATGTTGACGTGGACTCCAGATGCGAATACACCTGATACTGTTTATTATCAGGTGAGTCAGGTAGCGCACTCTCGTAGCAATAAACACAAACATTAACAACGTCATTTCAGTACTTAATCGTGTTTATAATAATTTTTGAAACTATTATTATTTATTATTATTAATATTATTATTATTATTATTATTATTACAGCATAATATAATAGTAACAATAACATTGATATTATTAGTAGGGCCTAATATCAAATACTTATAATCATTTTGATGATGACAATGATGATGGCAATAATAATAATAGTAACAATAATAATAATAATAATAATAATAATAATAATAACAGCAATAAAAAACCCCAATATAGTTATAGAGTTATGTGTTACTGTACCAATAATAGTAGGTTATAACAGTAATTTGATAATTATAACGACAATCATAAATTATGAGAATGATAACGATGATGATACTGATGGTTATGATTATTGTGTTGAAATAATTAAGTAGAGTAATTGAATGTTTTCTATTATATTTTTCAGTGCTACACTCATCGTTATTTCGGTTGGAAGATTGAAGTGGTGGACAACTTTTTAAGTCTATGATCCCAACACCACACCCGTAGCAGTATGTTGAGAAAAACATTATGAAATCAGAAAATAATATGCTTAAATACATATGTGTACAAATTTTGTTTATGAATATCTTGTAAAATAATATAGAATTACGATTTTATTTGGCAGTTGGGAGTCTATAAACAAATATAATTTAAATTGGCTTATATTATTTTATCTTAAAGTATTTTTTAGACACAAATGTAAGAAGCACAACGCATACGTCACGATTTTCAGTAAACCTCTTTAAAATAGATGCATAACAAATACCCGCACTCACAAGTGTCCTAAATCACATTTGTGGTGTCCCTGTCTCATGTTTTAGCGTACCTGTTACCGTATCTACTGCTGTTGTTGTATTTATGTGTTGTGACGAATATGGACTAAAATGTAAACCATACAAAGGATAATTGACGCGGTCTGACGTACATAAGTGTGACGGAGCTAAACTTTTTCACAATGTGGAAAAGAAAAGACATTAGCAAAACAGATGCCTTTTGTGTCAAGTTGCGTCAAGAATTTTGCGTACATATTTCTTGTGTTTGCGTCAGGCATTTTGCGTTTGGCCCATTAATTCGGTGCGCAAGGGCAATGTATTACAGTACTCATTTTGCACAACAAACGCCCGCACTCACCAGTGTCTTAAATCGGTGCTCAAGGTCAATGTATTATAGTACCTCGGTTTGCATTCGAACCACGTTGTTCCTAACGGAAATATTAACGTATTATTCGATCACGATTGGATTGTAGGAAGATGTGGGAAAGGGAACCATAGGAAATGAACAATCTACCTCAGTAAAACGTAAATTGAGTTGTTGTGGGCACCTCATTCTTAAGCATTATACATTTCTTTTACTTAGTCACGGCATAGCAATAAGTAGGCCAATTTAATACAAGATGGTAATTTCTGGATGAATTTTGACCAAGCATAGGAAGGATTAATAAAATGAACGAAATTAATCATTACGTCAACTATTATATTAATGAAAGAGCCAATGATATTACATATATGGCAAAGTATTGTAGACGTACATAATCTTTGTAAATAATTGTTTATATCTTCCACCTATAGGCCTAGGCCTACACATAAATATCATTGTTTGTAGAAAAAAATAAAAAAAATATTCGTCAAAATAACTTTGGTTGAGCGATTTCATTATTTGCTAATCTCAACATATAAATAGCGCCAAAATAGCTTCAATTCTATAAATGTCCACTGAGTGACAAAAAGGTACGAATGTTGCTTTAAAGAGCTTCTTTGGTAAATTTGTTACTTGACAAATGTTATTCGTTGACTCTCACGTTGATATACGCCTAATAAACAGACTATGTACACTTATGAAAATATCATGGACTTGATTGTAAGGCAAACTCGAATGAAGATGTCTACGGCTATATAGTACACGACACAGATGGTCAAAGCGGCAAGGCATATTCCAACGACAGATAAGAAGACAGCACGTACGGAATGCGTTAACGTGAACACAATCAAGACGATTATCACAACGGTAGCCAACCACCGTCTATTTAGCAGGAAATTTCCGTATGAATTCACGATGTTTTTGGTAACACCGAGCTGTTGAAAGTCTTTATCGACACTATTAGTTACCGTGTTTCTTCGAGGCATGGTATTCGTATTATAAGAAAAACAAATGATGGAAGAGTGTACCGTTGCGTGTCCTTGGTGCCAGATAAAAGTTAATAAATTGCAGGATACCAACGTATTTTGTTTACGTGCAAGCGTCGACGAATAATACGCTGTAGTTTAATAATAATCGATTTCAAATTTCACTCCGAAATCAACTATCAGTTTTGTAACACATAGCTGACAGCTATTGTCTTGATGGATTTTTTTTTATCTTATCAGACGAATAATAGAAGGTAAATTACTAGAAATATCTCTTGAATTTACAGCAAAAGCACGTTGAGAGCCACCAACAACACTCAGAAGACACGATTGACAGGACATGCGCATACATACATACATAAACGTTGGTTGCCAAGGTTGTTTTCATAGAGATCCAAAGAGCTGGATTAACATTATTGGTTACCTAACAAGGAACACAAAAGAAACAACACTCATAATAATGAAGGTCATTAAAATTATTATTAGTTGTTTATCACCATCATTATCAAGTCATCATCATTATTGCCGTCGTCATGATCATCATCATCATCATCATCATCATTTAATTTCATTTTGGGACATGAGCCAAGGATGAAAATAGCGATACTGCTAATAATAATAATAATAGCCTTATATAATAGTCCTACAGTATAAGTGAAAATCCCTTAAATCATTGTCTTTTTCATCATTGCCATTACTTTTTCTGCTGACTTGGATTTCATTGACGTCAAAAAAATAAATTTAATTTTTATCATTAAAACCTGCATTATTATTTCATCGTCTTCATAAAATTATTTTTATCAATAAAGTTATTATCAATACCGTACCATCGCGGAAATTTCATCATCATTCTATCACCACCATCCACTAAGGCACGGGATTGGTCCTAGAACTAAGGACAAGTACATGTCATCAACTACAGATTGAAAACGTAGCAAAGATAAAGCTATGAAATAGCTGTTATTTTGCGACAGAGAGAAGGTAAGCGTTATATGGGCACCAGTTCCGTCAGGTCATGAATAATTAATGACGATGGTATATAAATATTCATACAAGTACCCATAGAGAATAGCAATTCATTTAGCTGTGGAGGCGCTATACTGCTATTAAAATAGGATTGTGAACCCCAGCTTGCTATTTTTGCTATAGCTATGTAGCAATCTCTTTAGCTACCGGTATTACTGCTATGTTCTTCTTTGATATAGGTTTGTGAACCATGTGCTGTATCTGCTGGTTTTTTTTATAACAACATTAGCACTTCCATTATAGTAATAACATTAAAATGGACGTAAGTAAAAGTGCATACAAGTTGAAAACATGTTACAAATTATGAACAAATATCAATGTGTGTTATTCTTAGGGGCATGCACTGTTATTTTTTACCTATAACCCTTTACCTTAAAGAACATTAACCGATGACGCTCAAACTTACGCACCTTTATTGCAAGTGTACCTATATGTACCGTTCTCAATGATAATTCTCATCACACTCGATACTATCACTATATGCTACACAAGTCTTGTGTAATAAAATCAAAATTTACAGTTTGAATCTATACGAAACATCATTACTAATTATTCCCTCACTTCAGCCGTGTGGTCTTGGGGTAAGACAGTGGCGGATCTATGGGTTGAATTAGGGTGGCTAGCCACCCCCCTTCGTTTACTGTGAAAAATAAAATAATGTCACTCGTCTTGTTTGTGTGCATCTCGTGTACTCTGGTAAAAAATACACTTTCTATTTTAAGCTTAATTCTTTTCAGATGCCACCTAAGATCGTCTAGCAGTCTACTAATTCCAAAATAAAACATTAAATAATGAATAATAATTCTTGTTCACTGTGCTAATATAAAAATGTCCTCAATAGATATTATCATCATACGCCTGAATGTATCATCTGAAACTTACAATTGTTTGAATTCTATTTGTCTGGCGCTATTTTTATACGGATATTTTTATTACCTCCACAAGGAGGCTATATTCATCGGATTTGTTTGTGTTTACGTGTTTCTGTACAGTTTTAGGTGTACAAGCGTCAGATTTCTACAGATAGTTTCTGACATTGAATGAAAGATTTCACTTTATTATGGTGACGATCTGGAGTATGGTGTTGATATGGGGACCATTAAAAGAAAAACACCTCCCACTAGATATCTCAAAAACTGATCTGAATGACACTTTCTGGAAGAGTTAACTAAAGATACAAGGACCACTCGACAGTGATTGGTAAACACAAAGGCACAGCGCACGAAAGTATAAAAGAAGACTTATTTCCAGTGGGGTCATTCTGGTGGAGGTAAAATAAATGAAATGAAGACATAATTTCGGTGATTCAGGGCCAAGTATCTCAAAAACTGATCAATTGACCTGAATACAACTTTTCGAAATTACTTGTTATGGAAAGGAATAAATATTTAAATTTTAGTGAGATCCGAAACAGGATGTGAATATGAGGATATTCAAAAGAAACATCCCAAACCAGATATCTTAAAAAATAATCAACTGATCTGAATGAAATTCTGTTAGAACTCAGATACAAGGACCCACCCGGCAGTGATTACTTCACTTTTTAGATGTCTCGTCTCATATTTGTAAAATTTAAGAAAATTGGTCCAGAGTTTTCATATTCTTGAGTAAAATGGGTCCACATTTTTTTTAATTTACGCATAAAGTATGTCCACCCTGAAATTGTCCTGCATTACTGTTTGAAAATCCTAGACGGTCATTGCTGGTGTGAGTCGTTTTAAGTGTGACTTTTCTTCCATTTGGGGATTTATCAACACACCCAAATTAACCGGATCAAAGGGTCAAGTTAACACGACCTTTCAATTCTTTAGCGTAGTGCCCACGGCCTCGAAAGATCGCAATAGACTCACAAAGAAAAAAAAATTCAAACGTTACTTTAAAACATTTTATAAACTTAATAGTTGGGGAAGTTTAGTTACAGTTCTGGTCTATAATATGGTATATCTGACTAATTTAGTTAACCTTTTAAAGCCAGAGCATTTCTGACAAAAAACAAAATACTGATTTATTAACGTCTGCTAGGCAGCTGATGCATACTTTTCTTGCTTCACAATAAAATACAAAATCAACTGTAAATGGGGTGTAATCGAAAAAAAAAAAATCGATTGCGCCTGAAAATCTAGTGTTCTCAAAGATCGACTGCGCCTGAACACCGAGTGTGCTTAAAGATTGACTGTGCCCGAAAATCGAGTGTACTCAAAGATCGACTGCGCCTGAAAATCGGGTTCTATCAAAGATCAACTGCGCCCGAAAATTGGGTGTACTCAACGATCGACTGCGTCTGAAAATCGGGTGTACTCAAAGATCGACTGTGCCTGAAAATCGTGTGTAATCAAAGATCGACTGCGCCTGAAAATCGGGTGTACTCAACGATCGACTGTGCCTGAAAATCGGGTGTAATCAAAGATCGACTGCGTCTGAAAATCGGGTGTAATCAAAGATCGACTGTGCCTGAAAATCGGGTTTAATCAAAGATCGACTGTGCCTGAAAATCGGGTGTAATCAAAGATCGACTGTGCCTGAACATTGAGTGTAATCAAAGATCGACTGTGCCTGAAAATTGGGTGTACTCAAAGATCGACTGTGCCTGAAAATCGGGTGTAATCAAAGATCGACTGTGCCTGAACATTGAGTGTAATCAAAGATCGACTGTGCCTGAAAATTGGGTGTAATCAAAGATCGACTGTGCCTGAAAATCGGGTGTAATCAAAGATCGACTGTGCCTGAACATTGAGTGTAATCAAAGATCGACTGTGCCTGAAAATTGGGTGTACTCAAAGATCGACTGTGCCTGAAAATTGTGTGTAATCAAAGATCGACTGCGTCTGAAAACCGGGTATAATCAAAGATCGACTGCGTCTGAAAATCGGGTGTAATCAAAGATCGACTGCGTCTGAAAATCGGGTGTAATCAAAGATCGACTGTGCCTGAAAATCGGGTGTAATCAAAGATCGACTGTGCCTGAAAATTGGGTGTACTCAAAGATCGACTGCGCCTGAAAATCGGGTGTAATCAAAGATCGACTGTGCCTGAACATTGAGTGTGATCTAAAGGCGAATATTACCGAGTGTGCTTGAAACTAGCTCTGGAAAATATTCTTAGTTAATACGTCCCTTAAAGGTACTAAAAGTATATCTTGTAGGTCTATGTAAAGTACAGTATTGTTGTTTCCTTAATACGAGCTTCGATACTTTCGTTGTCTGAACAAGTGATGACCCGTACCAGTCTATTTTAATACACAGAGAGTAAAGGAAAAGTTTAATACTAATTGAGATATTTATTGACACAAACTTTCGTGTACCCAGTACACTTCTTCATATGAATATAAATTTTTTATAAGTTTAAAAACATTAGAATATTAATTCAAAATTTAAAAGTAAATGATTAAAGAGCACGCACCAACCATGATTTTTTTTATACAAAATTTCTTTACATATTGTCATCACAGATGTAGAAGTAGAGTGTAAGTCCACAAAACGAATCCCTTGTATTTCCTTGGCCAACGATCCACAACCTGGAAACCAAAGCTTTCATAAAGTCTTTGTGCAGGAGCCTGGACCTCTGTCGTGATAAGCTCAACTTGATTATAACCATTAGATTCACAAAACTCCAGTGCAACTTTTAAAAGTCTTTTTGCTATGCCTAGTCTGCGGTATTCTCTGCTTACCGCCATCCTGCGTAGGTATGCCACACTTTCCTGCTTCTCTTTTACTGTAATGGCAACAGTTCCTATTACTATGTCAGAGTCTGTAACTGCAACCCAGAAGTTTGTTTTATCCGAGGACTGGTAATTCACTTGTACATCATCCATATCTGCAAGCAGGGGGCCCTTTATTAATCTATGCATGACATACCATAGTACAGCGAATAGTAAATTGTAGAGGGCGACAATTAGTATTCCAGTTTGCAGTAGAGACTGGGTCAGATGATAGACTAAAATACTATATACTGAAACAAATGTGATGACTGTCCACCGCTTTATTGCAAGTAAGAAAGCCGGTATAATGTTATCATATGTTCCATCTTCCAGAACCTTCCTTGCTTTATCATTATGTTCATTGGCACATGGACAAATAGAAACTGCCATCTGACTCAGTGCTAATATTTGATGAAGGCAATCATGGGAGAAAGAGAGAAAAAAGAGAAAAAGAGAAGTAACTGAATCATCAACATTATCATCATTGGTACATTCATCAATGCACTACATGGCAATCGTACCACCAAGAAGGCATAATTATTTTGCAGCATGGCTAACCAAATGTAACAAATTTGTATTTTTACCACAGTGTTAGATAAAAGCTCACTCAATGTTAAAATGCAACTTGGTATACAAAGTGCAGTCAACTATTGAGAAAAGACAAACCCTTCACCGTGTACCTCAGTAACCGATTTCACTACTGTATTTTTATTCATGGAGTTTTCGTTTTAATAAACAACTCTTATCACGAGGGTAAGACCTTACGGAGGACCCCATTGATTTTGCATACCTACGGTTAACATGTTTAAAACATACATAAAAACTATTTTTACAATTATTTTATATTACGATTATTTTTTATTCATATTTTTTTATATTGTAATAATAGGCCTATTAACTTTACTAACTTATCTGATGATATAATAAACACTATTTAAATAATTGATACTGCTGTCCCATCATCGTTCTCCTCATAATCATTATCAGTTACACATATACTGTATAATACTGTAAATACAGCCATGTTTTTACTGTTGATCCACTTATTAACCACTGCTAAAACATTATATAAATGTATTGCAAAATTGAATTAAATATCTCTAAGTGCTTCACATTACTACCCCGGTCATTGGATCAAACACATATGCAACACATACTGAACACCAAATTAAATTATTAAATATACATATATAATTATTAATTATATATATCTTAAATATATTTTCAATATAGCTTAAATAAATATATTATTTTCATTTCTATATATATATTTATACATATATATTTCATAAAATATTTATATACGTAAATAAATCTATTACGTTTACTTCCTATTTTCATATCTTTACTATTTATTTACCTTCTTAAAATATGCATAAAAATACCGCGACCGAAAAAATAAATATGCTGTAATGTATTTATTCATATACTATATATATATACTGTCTCTTATACACATCTAGATGTGTGATCTAGCGTCGTGATCGAGTTGTACGCATGGTCGGCTATGGTTAGCCATAATAAATTTTTTTTAATGCTGTTACGTTATTCAATTCCAACCAATCACAAGCTTTAAACAGCACCGAAAGGGCCATATTAAAAGTAGGCCTACTGAGGTGAAGAATTTATGGCGATGACAGATGTAGGCCTACTAGTTAGACCACCAACTGGCTGGGCGGGCGGCCCGCACAGCTCATTGCTTCTTCTTGCGCAGTTGTGGGCAGTGTGTGTGCCGCCAAGACAGAGCCATAGATACAACACAATGTGCATTCCTGTGTACAATATTGTATAATACAATTAGTGGCCTCCTGTAATACTTAATTTAACCTTTTTAGCAGTTGAATTTCATGTAACTATATTTATAAAAAATGGCGCTTTTATTATGGCCCTTTCGGTACTGTTTCAAGCTTGTGATTGGCTGAAAATGAACAACATAACGGCGTTAAAATAAAACTAAACGGCACTTTTATCATGGCCCTTTTGGCAATGTTCAAGCTTGTGATGGTTGAAATTGAACGTGACAGCGTTATTATAAAACTAACACGGTTTCATTATGGCCCTTTCAGCCAATCTTATAATTACAGCTTTGCTATTGTTACAAAGCGCCATTTCTACAAGTTAACAGCGCTTTTATTATGGCCCTATCGGTGCTGTTTAAAGCTTGTGATTGGTTGGAATTGAACAATGTAACTGCGTTAGAAAAAAGACAACAGCGTTTTCATTATGGCTCTGATGGCTAACCATAGCCGGCCGTGCGAATAACCTCGGCCTTTGGATAAACTGTTGGGTATTTAAGCGGACAGATAGTGTACTGCATTGCCTAGCCTATAATATATTATGATGGGCCTGCCCTAGGCTAGCGGCATCTGTATCGTGTCGTTATCGTGTCTACTGTAATGTAGCTTAAATCAAGCTTTATATACTGATAGGCCTAGGCCGCCGCTAGCCTAGGTAAGGCCCATGCCTAGGTTGGACTAGGCGGCGGGTCTAGGCCTAGACTAGGAGGTAGGAGACTAGTTGTTAGCCTATTCTATTTTGCCGTCTATGTATAATAAGGTGTTTATTAGTTAAGGAGCCCTAGGCCTAGACTAGCTCTGAAAATGATGTACCATAGATCTATACCCAGTCATTTTATTTTATAGACAAGACAAACATACCTTTTTTTAATGTTTATAATAATTGTAGGAAAGCGTGTAGACACTAGACCTACGCCAACTTACTACTACTACCAACCAAAGAACTTAAATAGCAGAAAAATGAGCTGTTCCGCGTATTTGCATTAAAATTGATGGAACATCCGCCCTCCTGCGAATGGGGTAAAATTTGACCATTTTACAAAGTGGAGAAACTACAGAAAACAAACGAACCAGAGCGCGCCTTTATAATTTTACCCCATTCGCGGGAGGCGTTTTCCCCCCGTACGAAACATGTGCATGAAACTCCACTCAGGTCAAAAGGTCATCAACCAAAGATAAACGTCTACAAAACTTTGGAGATACAGGATTGCTGCTCGCTGTCTGATTTTGAAAAAAACATTCCCATGCTAATATATAATGGGTCGTTTAAAACGACATATGTATGCCTATTATTTGATTTCGCTGCACGAATAATAAAAAGTATTAGGCCCTATTTGAATTTGAGTTACATAAAAATGTGAACATTTTTATTTTTTAGTTGGCCGCGGTTTTGGATAATTATTTAACCAGGGAGTTGTTAATTAACAACTCCCTGATTTAACCTATGTCATGACGAATTCAAGTCAACTCGGCCCCATGTCAACTCGGCCCCACAAGTCAGCTCGGCCCCAAGTAGTCAACTCGGCCCCAATTTACTGTGTACGGTATTTATTGAATATTTACCAAGAGATTTGAATGCAAAGCCAAAATTAAAGTGTTTTGAAATCGTTGCCTTTGTTATTTCGTTTCATTTACATGCACCACTTACAATAATTAAAACTGCATTAATAAAAATAATATTAAAATGATATTAATAAAAATTATACAAAGGTATATAGAATAACTAATGATAATAATAATATATACTTGTGGCCAAGTTGACTTGGGGCCAAATTGACATGGGGCCATGTTGACTGGGGCCGAGTTGACCTGCTTCCGCCTAAATTACTAAAATTAAGGCAGGGATTTGGATTCAAGGTGCTTCTTGATTACAAGGCTTAGGCTAATTAGTTAATTAATGGCGAAATTATATATGGTTATTTATTATTATTGTTATTATTATTTAATATTAATTAAATTACAAGGCTTAGGCCAAGTTCATTAATGCCGGAGTGATATATTTAATTTATTATATTTAATATTTTTTTACTCACTGTCCCATTTTAATTTCATGTTTAAATTTTTTTTCAAAATTTCAGTCAATGGCATGCGAAGCGTGACTGTTGGGTCAGGCCTAGGAACCTAGGGGCCTAATCTGGCGGAAGGTGGGGGGGGGGGCTAGCAGTAGGACCTAAAGCTTGGAACTAGGCCGTTCCACTAGGCCCATTATTTAGCCTCTTTTGCTCTAGCCTTTGATAGATGTTCCTATTTACCACTGGTACTACTATAGAAGGGGGTACTAGCTGTTGTTGTTGTAGTAGTACATTTGATAACAAACATACGAGAAGCTCACAGTTAGTTACAGACGTAGCCTACATCCCATAAATCGGTAAGACATAGGCCTTGCGGTAGGTACAGTAAAGATAAATAGAATACTCGAGCGTCACGACATGCGAAGTGCCTGCTCTTGTTCGTATATCAAACTCGAGTCGAATCAATCCGAGACGACCCGACTGGAGTTTCATGCAAATGTTCCGTACGGGAAAAAAATCGCTTCCGGCCGTCAGTTTTGTTTTGGCATGCTGCCCTCAACGTGTACGTTTTTGCGAGGGCAGTGTTGTTTAAAAAAAAAAAAAAAATTTTGGCGAGGTGTAACCAAGGTAGTTTTGGTAGTAGTTAGAATGGCTTCTGCTGATCCGAGATTGCGCCAACTGAAGATAAAAACGGGTGTACTGAAACGGTATTGTTAATAGAGAAAATGAACTGTTTTAAATTTTAAGTGAGAGGCTTACTTACAATACAAAACTAGCTCTAGCCTAGGTTGGGAGTGGTCTAGCTAGGCTAGCCCCTTCCCCCTCCCCTTAGTCTCTAGGCCTAGGCCTATACTGAGACTACTAGGCCTAGCAGCCTGGCTAGCCTAGCCTGCTTTGCACGCTCCTCCGCCTCTCTGATGAGATTTATCCAGTCGCTAAGCATAGCCGGTGGTTTTATGTCTGCTTTTGTTGTATTTTTTTAGAGATAGAAGAGATATTTTTGTCTAAATAAATGCTGTATTTTTGATTGATAAAGATTTGATTTTTGATTGTCTATTCCCACGAACCATAATAACGGTTCATATATTACAGTGTACAACATATATTATTAGTGTAGGCGTATATAAAGTAAAAAGTTAAGGTTTCTTAATATTTAATATAATATGTTAAATAGTATAGTAAAAAGGGTGCAGGTCAACTCGGCCACATGTCAACTCGGCCACAGTCAACTCGGCCACAAGTCAACTCGGCCACAAGTCAACCCAGCCACAAAAAGTTCGGCTACAGCCAACTCGGCCACAAGCCAACTTGGCCACAAGTTATTTAATGTAAATCTCTGTAGTTTTTGCATCCTTTTTCTTCAATATAATGATTAAAATAAAGTACAGTATATTTTAGTAAAACAGGACCACCACACTACCAAAAGAGATTTGAATGCTATTGCCTATGAATTAAAAAGAGTTATTTATTAATGTGTTCATCTTCTGTTTACTCACAAAATTCTACTTCAACAATAATATTAAACAACAATGACGACAATAAATTAATAATATATTTACTTTAATAATACTAATTATTCATTATGACGATAATAATAAAGGTGATAACAACAACAACAACATTAATAGTAATATTTATTTTAACAATACTAATAGTAATAATACTAGTATGGTAATAATAACGATATTACTTAAATATCAATTTTAATAACCTATTAGTGATAATAACGATATTGAAGGTGATAATAGCAATAATTCAACAATAATAAATTAAAGATAATGTTTATTTTTATAATAATAGTAATACTAATTAGTAATAATAATAATAATGATACTTAAATACTAGGCCTACTTAGTAATAATAGGGTAATAATATCGATAATAAAGGTGACAACAACAACAACAATAATAATATTAATAATAATAATAATATGAGAAAAATACCAATAAAACACCAATAACAATAACTTTTTAAATTACTATTATTAAAATAATAATAATATTAAGACTAATAAATAATAATAATAAATTGAAAATTATTTATTATTTATATGGTACTGTAATAATAATATCAGCAAAAATTTGAACAATACCGTATATAATGTTAATGCTAAGACTAATAATATTAAAACTAACGGTAATAAAAACAACAATAACAACAATGACAACAATAATAACAGCAATAATAATAACAATAAGTATAGTAATACTTAAAGAATTAGTATTTTATACTTGATGAATTACTCCTTCAAATTGTAGTACCAGTAAATGACTTGTGGCCGAGCTGACCTGTGTCCGAGTTGATTTGTGGCCGAGTTGACTTGTGGCCGAGTTGGCTTGTGGCTGAGTTGACTGTAGCCAAACTTTTTGTGGCCGAGTTGACTTGTGGCCGAGTTGACTTGTGGCCGAGTTAACTTGTGGCCGAGTTGACTGTGGCCGAGTTGACTTGTGGCCGAGTTGGATCGAATTCAGTAAAAATAAAAAATGATATTAAAAAAAAGAAAGAATCAGAGGAAAATATAAATTGCTTGGTTTTATTTTGTTGTGGTCTTGTGTGAAGCTGTTTCTATTTTTTGTTTTTAAGTTTTTCCTTGCTGGCATTGGGATAAATCCTCATTCTTATTTGCCAACTATCCTAATCCTACGGACAAACTGCCATTTCTCATTTAAATCTGGATTTTGTTAAATGTTGGTTTTTAATCTAGATGTGCCAAGGAAAAAGTAATGTATGAAAAAGAGGCTGATGAAATAGCAGCAAAAATCGAGCGGATGAAAGCAGACAACAAAAATGAATATGATATACGAAAGCAAGTAAGTTGGTCATAAAGAATCATGGATTAATGATTAGGCTAAAAATCAAGAACACTTTGTGTTGCTCAAGGAGACTATGAATCTGTTTCAAAAGGTCATTTTTTAAACTTTGAATAATTTTTAATACCTTAACCTTTAGCCTGTTAATAACATTTTTATTTTTATCAATATGGAGGAGAGTGATGGTTGGCAATATGCCCTAGGCTTGGCCAGTAGTAAAATTTATAAAAAATCGCTGACTTGACTCCAAACTTGATTTTCATATGTCATTGTATGTGTTTGTATTTGTATGCTTGCTTTCCAGAGAGAGCAGCTTAGCTTTGTCGGCTAATCTGGTGGTGTAGCCACTGTGTGTGCGCTGAACCGTGGAGATCTCTAGGTCCCCAGTTCAATTCCCATCGCTGCCTCTCCTTGTGTTTCAGCTAGAGGGCTGAAATACAAGTTACAATAGCGCATCGTCTTTTTGATGAGACGTTTAAGCCGTTGGTCCCTAAGCATATATGGCCCATGTGCACTCTTCGGAAAAGAGTAGAGGATTGTCCCCTGGTGCACTGCCCAATCCCACCAGAAGGACCCTGCTGAAAATAAGTCGTCTTCTAGACTTTCGTGGGCTATCCTTGGTGTTTACACTGAATAAATCCAATCCAATCCAAAGCCAAACTCAAGGAGGAGGAATTGATCCAGGATCCCACTGATATGCATGGTACTCTGAAGACAGTTAAATTAGCATTCCTTCAGATCACAATACACAGTACTTACTGTGTCTCCATTGGTTGATTCATTCATTCATACAAGTATTTTGTTTGCATGATTTGGCATGCATTAGTAACATGTGGTGGCCATTGATTCACACACATGGCAGACTGTGCTGTTAATCCAGTTAGTTAATCAATTGCAGTTTAATATTTTTGTATTTTCAAAAATTTTCTCCTTGGATTTCTAAATAGAGAGAGTTTTTGCATGCAGTAACGTACAGTACAACTCCAGTACGGTCCTCACTTACTGCTGGTAAAGTTTATTGAGTATGTGAAAGTAACACAATCAAAGATATGAAGGGCTGTCTTTTTCCAAATCCAAGGAAAATGAAATATGCACAATTTAGGTTGTACACTGATAGGATAAAACAAATTATATAATTTAAAGCAAAAAGGGGGCACTAAAACAAAATTGTAAATAGTCTTTGATTTTCTTGTCTTTTTGCTTTCATGCAAGTAATTTATTTAAATCTTTCAACATGAATTTCCATCTCTTTACATTTTCAATAGTTCTTAAAAATATTATGCTTATACTCGCTGACAGTAATTTATCCATAATTTTTGCATAGGAATGCCAGGCATACTGTAATTTAAATTTTAATAATGACAGTAACAGCGGTTTGGCTCCGCTTCTAGGATCCATGAATTTTTAGATTTAGATCACCTTCAGCGTGCTCAGAACTGCTCTGCCAAGTTGATATGTGGTGGTAGAAAATTTGACCATGCGCAGCCATATTTACATCAACTACACTAGCTGCCAGTGCGAGAGAGGTTAAAATTCAAGGTCTTACTGATCCGACTCCTGGTTCCAGATTATCTGTCAGCCTGTTTGCCATTAAATTGCTCAGTACACACTGGTCTCAGGTCTGGAAATGATAACACTCTGCTTCATGATTCGGCACCAATCAATCAAGTCACTCGTAACCTTACATCACCGCACATTTTTTTTTATGCAGTACCGCCCTACTGGAATTGACCTGCAATGCAATATCTGTTTTGCTGACTCCATTGCAGCATTTAAGAAAGCTGTTGAAACATATTTATTTGAACTAGACTAGGTTGTAGGTAGGCATAAATGCCAAACACCTTTATGGCACCTGTAAATATTGTGCAGACGAGCCTTGCGCCTTAAATTGCATTGGAACGGTGCGTTGGTGTTTGAATCCTCTTTGTTGTTTTATCTTTTTTTCTTTTTGAGTATGTCTTATGATTATTTGTATTTCTTGTTTCAGAGTCTATATAAATTTTGTCAACAGTGTAACTCTTAAATCGCTCTGATCGTAATGAAATAGCGCTATTTAAATGTTGCATTATTATTATTGTTGGCATAAAGCGCTAATATATTATTGACAATTATTAATAAGTGCCAATATCTTATTTTTACATATATTCGGCCATTTGTTTTTATATTTCATTAGAGAACTTACATGAATAATTGAGTACATCACCACATTTATTATTTGCTAAATTATTTGAACCAAACTTTGTAATACATCTTCTATTTAAACTTTGTTAATACATGCTGGTATTTCTTCAAACTGCTATTAAAATAAAACAGATTTCCATCTGAGGCGTTACCTCAGAATATTACTTGGCATCTTTGAACTGAAGATTAAAAAAAATCTTTTTGTATTGATTAAACCCGGCTATGTGAGATAATACATTGTCATTAAATTGTCAGTAGCATTTCTTCAATGACAAATTTAGAGAATAATTGTATTTGTTTTCTCCTGCAGAATGAAGTGTTAGCTGAATCTAAAATGATGATTCCAGATTGTAAGAAAAGAATTGAAGCAGCTTATAGAGACCTAGAAAGCCTTATTGAGGTACATAAACCATATTAATGTACATAAAATTTAGTAATTTTTAGGATGATAATGATGACGGTGACAGAGATGATGATAGTAGTAGTGGTAGCAAGATAATGAGAGTAAAGGTGATTTCTAAGTGATTATGATGGTTTTATGTTATTAAAAATATAAAGTTAGCTGCTTGGCAAAGTGTAGATATATCAAATAAAATTTGGGAACAAGGTACTGTATAAATTTGCCAGATCTTTATTAATAAAATCTGGCAAATTTATACTTTATTCCCATTGTATTTATAGTGCTACAAAAAATACCTTGTACATCAGCAACATTATTATAATGTGATTACAACCTAAAATTGTATATTGTTATTATTATATTATTTTATATTTATGTACTTTTTTTTCCAGGAATGTAAAACTGATTTTGCTGAAATGGAAGAGCTAGAGTTAGCAGTTGAACAATTGAAACAAGTCACGATCTAATTAAAATCTAACTAATCCCAATTGTAGGAGTTATTAAAAGACAATTGTGAATATGATAATAGGTTTGTATTGCTTTCTACATGAAAAAATATTTTGTTTAGGTATGTTGAAACGCTGTGTGTCTATAAAGAAGCATAGAAATCTATATAGAATTTTAAAAATTCTATGAAAATTAAAGAGTCTTTTGAGGAGCTAATAAAATTAAACCATAGAATTCAATGGTTACTTTGTATTTTTTGCTTGTGTCCCTGGGCAAGGCACTTTACCTACAGTTGTCCAACTCCACCCAGGAGTACAAGTCTTACCTGGTAGGTTCAAACACAAAATGCATTGATCACAGCTGGAACATTATATAAATATTATAACTGCATGATTACAATTGTAAGCTTTCAAATTGATAATTGTAGTAAGAAAGTACTTTTAGTCAGCAATTAAAGATGTATAAATATTTCTGTTGTTGTAATCCTTTGTACAAACTCATATTAATCTAATTGTAAGGCATTTCACACTAGCAAGCCAAGTGTCAAAATTCTAAGTGTAAAACTTGGAATATTTCTAAAGTAAAAGACCCTTTATTGTCCATCATTTAGTTGGAATGACTTCAAAATCAAATTTACATTGAATGAAGTGTTTTGGTACTTTTAATGCTTTTATGTAACTTTACCACTTTAAAAAACAGTACATTAATACCCTAAAAGATGATTAAATAAATACTAAATAAATATATTATTTAATCAGTTAGCTTATTTGGAGTATTAGCTGTTAGGACAATTTAAAGATTTTTGTAGTAAAAAAATCTTCAAATTAGATAAAACTGGAATGTTTTGGTCTGTGTTGTTTTTGATTGCACCAATGTTTTTATAATTCATCATAGGCTGTATTCGACTGGTCGTTCTTCGTTAAACCACGGCCACCTACAGTAGTAAACTCCTACTTAACGAAAACGAACAGTCGAATAGAAAACTGGTAAATACTCGACAAAACAAAATGGCTGCATAGTTACTTCGATACACGCTGTGTAATCAAGGTTGCTTCGGCTTGTGGCAGTATGGGTTTTTCGTAAAGAAAAAAATTTTCATCCAGTTTTTGACTTGGTAAATATTATAACTTTTATTTTCTGAAATTTAATGTAAATTATATTAACGCAATTTTTTTTTTGGTAAACTGACCAGTCGCCCATGTTTGTTTTGGTGGATAACTTAACGCTGATTAACACAACTTGTTTTACGTTAATTTTCGTTTTCAACGGTCTTCAATGAATATAATACTCAACGAAATGAACCAGTTGAATAAGCCCATAGATAATACATTTACTTGGCCCTACTATTAAAATATATTAAATCATAACTTCAGAAAAACCAAATCATATTTAAATTATTTATGCATATAATTTTGTCCTCCAATTGGATTTCCAGGAAGTAGAAACTGTTAAGTTGTCTACAGACAGCATCCAGTGAAACAATGTGATGATAAAACAAAAGATAATCAACATGAATTACAGTATACCGTGTACACAGTTTTAAAATGCCAACAGCATAAAGAACATGTAATGAAGACCTACTTAATGAAGTTTATAAATAAGAGCTTGAAGAAATTTTAGATTTATAGGCCTATAGCGATGTACACGAGCCTCAAAGAGCTTGATAAGTGGACTGGCTTGTACAGTAACTTCCTTTCTCGATAAGGGTAATTTCGTATTCAGTTACCCGATGGCAGCTACTCTCTAGATTAACAGGGTACCGTAAAACCTCGAATTGAAGCCCTGGGCTTCTTTTTTAGCGAACTTTGGATGGGCTTATTTTCGAGATAGGCTTCACTGATTTCGAGATGAGTTTCTTTACGAGACTACTTTTTCAAAGCAAAGAAGGGGGCTTCTTTTCAAAATAAATGCTGTAAATTTTGTGAATTTGTACTACTGTATAAAACAATAAATAAGGCTACTGTAACATCAATCTGTATCATGGAGTGTATTTAACTGGCATTAAATCACCTAAACTACTGTATAAACCAAGTTTGTATTTAATTTTGTTTTCTGAAATTCATGTACAGTGTATGTACTGTACTATCTCGAAAAGAAGCCTATGCTATCTTGGGTTTCTTTTCGAGGCTAATTTTGCAAACTAAAGTGGGGGCTTCAATTCGAGATAGGCTTCATCTCGAGATTAAGCCCACTGAGCTTTAATTCGAGGTTTTACGGTAGTTGGTCAAACTTAAGTAACATGCAGTAAGCATGTTACAAATATCCACATTTGAATGAGTGAACATCACATGCATGACGCCCTCTCTTGCGCTGTTTATATTAGATCTGTGTTTATTATTAACATTATAATTACAACTCTGTAAAATTTTGTCGTACGTGCGTACAGTCAGGTGTGAGATTATGTCCCGTCCCGTCGTCTCTGTTCTTTGTATTTTGTTATAGATGAGAACTTGTGTAAGTTTAATATCTATCGTTCTTGGTTTTAAATTGATGAACCTATTGATATTTTCTTTATATCGTGGTGTTTTCAAATACATGAAATGAGATTCCTCGAGTGAATCAATCTAAACTAGACCTATATTGATTTTTGTATGTTGGTAAAATGTACTGGGACGCCCTTCGAGATTTGCTCGTATCTATCTGTGTAAAATTATATTAAAACAGCAGGCAACTAAACTTGTTGCTAGGTTTAGCATACTCTTAACGGGTTTGTACACTTGATCTTGTCTTGTGTGTGTGAAGGTTTGTTGTTTCTAACGTTTGAATTGCTTTATACGTATTGAAATGAGTAGCATGAAGATGGTGATTTGTGGTTCCGAATGTCTTGCTATCTGCCTTAAAAAAAATAACAATTGATTTACGCAACAATGTTTAACAGTTCATTTTCATAGATTCGGGGTTTCTTTGTGTGTAAATACCAGCTTTTTGTACAATAGCTCCAACTTGTTGACATTTTATGAGCATTCGTTGTGCAGTTGATTTCACTTTTATTCATTGAAATTATGTTATCTACCAACAGGACGTTAACTTAAGTATTTGTGAATATATTTGTTGCCTCTGATATAATTGTACAAAACATACGATACTCTTTGTGACTCCTCTTCCCCAACCCAGCAGTCGCGCATCCGGATCCATGATCTGCTTTCTCGAAACGCAGAACTACGGACCCGAAGCCTGCAGACGGCGTAAGCATCTCCTGCCTAGATCAGCTTTAGTAATTTTCGTAAAAAGCAGCGTTTACGCCTATCTTAGGCCTATAGTCTTACTCTCGTAAACATGAAAAGTAATCATAGATCGGAATTGCGTAATTTGTTATTTAATATCTATTTTATTAAGATATAATTAACGAGTAATTAAATTCAATATTTAAGGATGCATCTTATATTTCGATATTTTCAGTTAATTTTAATTTTTAATTGTGAATGATTTTGATATTGTTCTCTGAAGTGTAGCCTTTGAAAACCACATCCAGTTGCTAACATTTTATCTAGTCTCTCAACAAATTAAAACAAAAAATAACTACAGAATCGTGCACTTATAGGCCGAGGGTTTACTGTATACCTGTAAATAACTGATTCAGAGTAGGTTTATGTACATGAGGCCTAGTAAAGTACTGTACTGTTAAAATAATAAGCATACAGCTTGGCGTAGTATTGTGTATTCACTATAAATACTGTACTGCTACACACAGGCCTTTTGAGTATTGTTTGAGCACCTCATGAATACTGTGAGCTATAATTGGGGCTTACGTAGTCTGTTGAGTTTAATTGCAGTACCGTATTTTGTAATCACGTATTGTTGTTTTGTATGTTTTTGTACTATTTCATGTTCAGGAATATACACATACAGTATGAAATAAGAAAATACTGTTTTTTTTGTGTTTTTTTCTATTTTTTTATTAATACTTAGATATAACAATAGAGCTAAATGTAAGTATTTATATTATTTGAGTGCAGTATTTTCATATTGTTTTATTGTGTGTGTTTGTATATTTCGTTTCTTTCTAAAGAAAACAAATTTCATGTATTGTATTTATATGTAGGCATGTGAAGAACAAATCGAATGTTGAAAATATTGAAATTTATGATTATATGACACCTAGATAGCCTCCATGTTACTCTCAGACCTAATTTTTTTAATTATAATTTTCCATTACCTTTTGAAAAATTTAGGGGGGGGGGCGTGGTGAGCCGACAGGTCTACCTTGACTCCGCCACTGCTAACTCAAATGATTCACGATACAACACGCAATTAACGTATAGGCCTACACCATAGGCCTAGTATGCTGAGTTGCACTGAAGATATGTAGATGATAGAAACTGCTAAAATAGGATCAAGTGAAGTTAACATGCATAGCCTTTCAACGAAAAATTTCCTTACCAAACCTTACTCAGCGTTTCTGTATCATTATTTTTCTATGAGGTTATACATTTTTGTATATGAGGTAATAAATATAATAGTAGTAGAAGGTATATATACGAGGTTCAGCATGTGTATATCTATCTATATACAGTACCTCCACTCTCTTCCTATTCACTCACTCCTGAAGATTGCTACTGCATGAAACAGATGTAGAGTAAATTCACGCTACGCTCGACATAACCTTTTCTCTGATAGTGGGAGTTATTTTTCATGGTTCGTCACAGCGTCTGATTTTCATAATTCGTTTAATATATTTTTCTTGTTTTAACTTTCCAAACCTTTTCGTTTCGATGAGAAGCATCCTTCATAATATTTGTGTTAGTTAATGCCAGCATTAATTCTGAACTATGTCTTGATGGCAAGTTTCAGGAAAGTTGAGTACTCTACGAAACACAAGGCCCCTGGGAATCTTAATGAATACGAGACAGAAGTTGTAAGCATTTTATGAACAACAGCGATTTTAACATTCACATGTGCAATCAGAAGCGTGTCATACCGGTACATCATTTCAAATAGTTGACGTATGAAATAAAGATCTTTAATTGTGCTTTCTGTTAGTGGAACATGTTTGTGCTGTTCTTCTAAAGTAGATAGTTAGTACATTTGTCTTATTGTGAAAAGGCTCCCACTCGACAGTAATTTAGTTCACTTTTGAGGTGTTCCTGCCTTGCGTTTAACTTACCTGTTACCAGATGTTGTTGTTTTTGTGTTTCTTGTATATGTGTTGAGATGAAAAAATAAATAAAATGAAATGCTTCACATAATGATGGCTCACTGGATTTGAACCCAGGACCCTGGGATTTGAATTAGTTTTGAAATGGTTTTCCTTTTATCGCATCCACATTATTTGTACATGGTGGTAAAGTTTAAAATGGATCGGGATGTGAATGTTTATTAAAGCCAGACTCTGGAGGTAAAACATTTATTGATACTGTATGTTGTAACTGATTTTCCTAAGACTCAAAAATAGTGTTGGACGAAAAACGGTTAATGAGATACAGATTTTTAGTCTCTGCAATTAACACCCTTGGTTCTTTATTATTGTAGATACTCAGTATGCATAGATAAATAGACCACTCATTGTACAGTTTTATAAGTATTCCTCATTTGCTCTCTGTCACCTTTATTCTTTTTTGATAAGACAGCCTATATTATATTGATTCATGATGTTTTCCTTATTCTCGCTGATGAAGGCCACAGGAGTGGCAGAAATATCCGAGTTTATAATAAATCAGTGTTCTTAAAGTCTATTACTGAAGTTGTTTCATTATTATTATTATATATATATATATATACATATATATATATATATATACATATATATATATGTATGTATATGTATGATCATGATATAATGAGTGTATTTATGATAATACAGTAAAATTGAAATTAAATAACACATTATTTTAGCCTCTCGAGTCACAGGATGCCTCGGAAATGAATGTTGCCTTAAAAAGTTGATTATTTTTTTTTTGTGTAAATTTTCTGTCTAGAATCAACAATAGCGGTGTATCGCAATGCAATAC